ATTTTTAGCCTTCATCCGACAATTACCTACAAAAACCACAGAAGACAAATAAAAATCGCAATTTCATCAAACAGATTTCAAAAATTCTATTAATATCTTACACTTATAAATTTATAAATTTAATACCAATGCAGTAAATTCATTTCTAAAATTTTCCCCACAAGCAGTAAATCTAATTATGATGAAAATTTGTAACTTAAAATTCCCCCATAACTAGCAGTAAATTTCCAAATTCTATGCAGTAAATTAATAAAATGCAATTGCAGTACTAACCTTTTGATATTTTCATTCATTCGCACAGAAATTCTATCCACACTCGCACAGCTCGCCCACGAAGAATTGTTTAAAATAATGAATTTCAGTTTCAAGTTTTCACACTCAACAACTCTAACATATAATAACATGTTTCAAACTTTCCTTTAACCCGGTTGGAAAGGAATCATATATTAAACAAAACTAACCAACGCAGCTTACTAAATACCACAAATCATAGAATAACAGCATGACTAAGAAAAGGAAACCAACGGTACCCAAACCGGATTAACCCAGTTTAAAACTGGATAATTTATTCTTTTGAAGACTATTATAAAGTCTAAGAAAGAAATAATAAAACACAAAAAAGTCGAAAGACAAACCCATACCACGAACAATTTACTTTTTGGAAAAAGGACATAACCAACAAGACATAAGAAAAACCACAACAAACCCAACATAAAACGTTGTCACATAACAGGACCCCTCACAAAAACCGCATGAAATCATACTCCCATTCCTGGCCTAACCCACCAGGAAGGACGTCCTGAGCATGCTCTATAGCCGGCCTAACCCACCGCGCTACATCCACGCTTTGTGACCACACCTCTATTTTTAATAAGAGCTACTCAAGTGTGAGTAACTCTTCAAAATAACCGAACTAAAACAAAAAGCTTTTGTGAAAACAACTAACTAAAATCATAATTAAAAAATATTAAACTAATAAATGTTTTATAAAATGTAAATTACATTATGCAATACATAGATCAGAATACAACACCAAGGACGAACATCTAAAGACAAAACGACCCCACTACACTCGAGAGAGAATGACCAACCACAATCGATATGCCACTCACAATCACAACTCAAAGGATTTAGAGTACGACTTGACTTCGCAGAAAAGGACTTCATTGAACTAGACCAATGACCACCTCGATGTTCAAGTATACGTACAGATCCGAGTAACCAGGCATCCCCTCCACGCACAATCTCCACGCCATTCCCAAACTAGATCAGACACAAAAGAAGTTCTCCACGCAGAACAGAAAAATCTGACATAGCCAACCATTCTGAAATCAGATTTGAGTTTGTTGCGAAGACTTAGTCGTTGTCACTAGAAGACACAACGTCTTATGTCTCTAACTCCAGCTTCCTGGAACTTCTTTAACAAAAAGGAAACAGAAGAAATAAGATGTTCGCCAAACACCAACTTCCATCAGCCATCCTTCGAATTGCAGAAGAACTATTCTAAAAAACTCTGTAAAACCCGGATGGGTGGAACCTGATCTAAACTACATTTTATGATTGGATAATTTAGATATTTTACCAATGTAAAGTATTTAATATTAACCAATCATGATCCATCTAACTAACAACCCACTTATTTGTAAGTGCTGAAGTTACTTGTAATTTCAGCACCAGAGAGATTTGAATTTAACTTAGAAATTAGTTGGACTCTCCCGAGCACTTCAGCAGCCGCAATAAACCAGTATACCCTAGATCTATTGAGCCTAGCAGAGACTAGTTAAACAACCTGAGACTAGATAGTATAAGAGTAAGATTAGGATCGGTATTAGACTAAGAAGTTGCACGAATCTATCCGGCCGAAAATAAGATAGCGTGACGAGCAGACGGTGTACCCTATCCGAAATTACTCTATGAGTTAACCAACTCGGTCCTAACTCAGCTGTGAAAGTTTGTTCACCTGTTCACGCTGACACGTTTTAATGCAGTTTATAACATGAAAAATTATTTCAAATAAGTTTTCATCTAGTAAATTTCAAAGGGGGGGGGGTAAACTGGAAAAAAGCCATATTGTTATATTTATAATTGTTTCACGTGTAATTATGGCTGCACGCTTGATGTTACGAAGTAAAGTTCGACCCGCCCTGAAATTTCGTGGATCAAAATCGAATATATTCTGTTTTCATTGTCAGCCTCAAAAATCGAAGTTAATCGGTTCTAATCGATTACAAATGGGCTATATTCCATTTCGAGCGATTATAATGGATCTAATGAATTATTTAACCTTTTTCTAAAATTAGTCTGAAATTTTCAACACTGCAGTTTTCACAATTTTGCTGTTGTTTTTGATTTAAATCACGTTTTATTAGAAACTGACAAAACGAACTTATTTTGGCTAAGAAAATTGGGCTCTTTTTCCTTTTCCCTCTACCTCACTTAAACATGAAATTTATGGTCTAACGAGTGGTTTTACAAGGTAAATTATGAAGACGAAATGTTTGTCATGGCCTAATTAGTCTGCCTGTCAATTTTCATAACAATCGAACAAAGTGAACAGTAACTTCAAATATAAAAATTTGCAGGTGGGGGGGGGGAAGGAAAAAAAGCCGAAAATTGTTGTCTTGTTTTCAAATTTTTTTCCCATCACATTTTTTAAGTTATATTTTTTTTATAATTTCTACTGATCTTCACAAAATTGCAGTTGCTTTTTATTTACCGCATGTTTTATTAGAAAAGTGCGAAAGGAGACTCATTTTGGCTAAAAAAATTGCTATCTCGTTCTCAACTTTTTCCCTTCATAATTGTTCCGATTTTCGATACGAAAGTAACGGAATATTTGTGCTCGGGGTGGATTTTTTTTTTCTTCAGACAAATTTCGACTTTTTAACTAGCCATTTTTGACGGAATATTTTTATATCATTCGAAAGCTATTGTTGTCTTGAGCTCAAATTTGAAAAGATATTTTACCTGAGATCATTTTTTGTAAAGTTATGAGGGTTTAAAGATTGTCAGTTTGGCCATTTTGACCAATTTGGGACAATTAACGCGTCCTAAAGCCGTCTTAAAAATCGTTCCAAATTGGTTGAAAGAAGCTTATTTGCCATAATTGATTTGTTACAACGAGCAAAATTTATTGTTTTGTACTTTATATGGCGTGTGGGGGGATGATTTTCATCGAAAAATTTTCAAATTTTAGAAAAAAGTTTTTAATTTATTTTATTTCATTTAATATTTTTTATGTTGTTTATGTTATTACTGCTCCATAAATGTTAAAAGGGCTCTTTTCCAGTCTCCCCCACCGTTCAAATTCAATTTTGAAAAGCTTATTTAGCGTTGTCATAATGCAACGAAATTTGGCGTGGTGAACAAATTGACACATCTGAACAGATTTGTTCTTCATACTTAACAGCGTAACATCACGCATTTAGCCGTAATAACACGTAAAACAAACTTAAAACTCGGTATTTTGAAAGGGGGAAAACTGGAAAAGAGCCGTTAAAAGGCAGTCGGAACTTTCAGGGCTTTGCCCTGATACGAGCAGTCTTGTTTTGCTATGTTTTCTTTTTTGTCTAGTTTCTACTGATTTCTTCTAACTTCTCCGCACTTTACGCCCTAATTCCCTCCTCCCATCCCATGTTAAGCCCCCCTTCAATTGGGGGGGGGGGACAAGGGGAGGGGATAAGCAAAGAACTTGACGGGGGATGAGGAGGGGGTTGGGGATGGAAGGGTGTGTATGGGGGAGGGGTTTGGAATGATGTTTGGTGGTTGGGGGCATTAGGGTGTGTTTGGGAGGTTGGAAGTTGTGTGGAGTGGGGTGTTTGGAAGTGTGTTTAGGGGTGTGAACGTTGGGGAAAGGGGTACACGTAGATGGGTACGGCGACAATTCGTAGCAGGCGAATATTGATCGCAAGCGACACTTCGTCGCTCTTTTAAAAAGCGACAATTGATCGCACGGCAATTTTATCACAATTCTTTTCACAAAAATAGTCAATTCTGGAAAAAAGAGCCGAATAGTTTTTGAAAATTGAAACTAAAAAATGGAGGAAGTGGATAAGAGCCCTTTAAACTACCCTTTAAAAAATATGCAAAAAAAAAACGGAAGAAACAAAAAAGAGGGCCCTTTTTCACGTTCCTCTTACATCTGTGTTGGGTTTTCGAAAAGTATTTTTTCGTTGTCATCATGTAATGAAATTGCATGGTGGCCAAACTAACTATTGTGAACATATTTGTTCTTCATTCTTAATTTGTAACACCACGCGTTCAGCCACAATAACACCAAATAAAATTGAAAAACATGAAAAATTTGAAATATGTGGGAAATGGAAAAGAGCCAAAAAGAGCCTAGTATCTGCAGCAATATAGAAGGGGGTAGGGCTCTTTTCCACTTTCCCCCACATTAACAATTTTTATTTTTCTTATAGTTGCTTTATATGTGATTATGGCTAAACGCATTTTTTTAAAACTAAAACTGAAATGAGGGGGGGGGGAGGAAAAGAGCCGGTAGTAGAAAAGGATATCATAACTGTGTTGTTTTGCCTCCCAGTCCTGAGCCCAGGCTCGTTTGGGTCTCTCGCTTCGTCAGCAGCTGCTCACTCGTGCGACGCCTGATTGCCGACTGCTCCGGGGTGATGAGCTCTCGCGACGAGCTCCGCTTTTTCATCATCTTCAGTTATTCTTCTTTACCTCTCGTAGAAGTCTGATTGAGCTTTTTAAGTGTTTTCAATAAAAAGTTGAAACTCAAATCTATCACAGTCAATTACTTGTTTTTCTCATTTTTCGTTACAATGTCATTTTTTGACAACCGAAAAAGTTCAAGCTGGTTTAAAGAAACAGACTTTCACTTTTTGAACTTCTTTTAATTTCACCTTCCAATTTATTTTTAGTAATTCAAATATAAGCTCGTGCAATTTTAAACTTTTAAAAAACCAACATCTTTGTTTTTGTTATCAAAAGTCAACAGGTCCAAAAATTAGTCATTGCATAGATTGTACACTCCTTGTCAAAGCTCAAACGAAGCATGCATATTGTAATATCAATCAGCAGCAAAAAGTACACTGTGAAAATTACAATATGCTAATTTAAATTCACAAACATCGGTCAAAACAGCATTCATTGCTGTAGCTTACAAGCACAATAGTCTGCCAGAAAACAAGTCAAAAACCGAAAGCCGAACACAATTAGAGATTCAAAATGGCACATATTAAAGTTTTCGCCCGACCTCGTTCGGATATTCAGCCGAGTGAATTTTTCATAGTAGGTGAGAAAACCCTAACTGCCCAGTTTAACGAGCTCTCGGTTACCGGCGCAACACACCACCCGATTACATACGACTTCAAGTTTTCACACGTTTTCGACCGAAGTGCAGGCCAAGAAGATGTTTTCAGGAAAGTTTCAGTCGACAGTGGGTTGCTTCAGCAGTTTATTTTGGGTTTCAACGCAACTATTTTTGCTTACGGCCAAACTGCTTCGGGAAAATCCTACACGGTTGAAGGCAGAAAAAGCGACTTGAATCATCTGGGAATAACACAACGATCAATTTCTTACATTTACGAAAGTCTTCAACAACGAAAAGATGAGCATGTTGAAATTCAGCTATCTTACATTGAAATTTACCAAGAAGCGGCTTACGACTTGTTAAACCCAGTTGTGGGCAAAAACGGACACTCTACTTTTCCAAGAATCGCTGTTCGCGAGGGAGGCGGAGGTGTTTCCTTCTTTCAAAACTTAAGCTGCATTGCCGCGCCGACGGAGAAAATAGCCCAACAGTTGTTTGCGCGCGCAGTAGCTAACCGACAAGTTGCAGAGACATCGGCTAATTTGATATCTTCACGTTCACATGGTATTTTCTCGTTATATTTGACCACACAGAAAGTTGCATCCGAAACAAAAACTTTTTCGAAACTTCACATTGTAGATTTGGCAGGATCGGAAAGAGTGTCTAAAACTAAAGCTAGTGGTAAAGTTCTAAGAGAAGCTCAGTCTATAAATTTATCATTGCATTATCTCGAACAGGTTATCTTGGCGCTTCAATTAGAACAGAGACTTTGTGGCACTGATAAAGCTCACGTTCGGAAACTACATATACCTTATCGGAACTCGCAATTAACCATGATTCTTCGGGACAGTTTGGGAGGTAATTGCGTGACAGCTATGATAGCAAATTTACACTTGGATACGAGTAATTTGGGTGAATCAATTTCGACATGTAGGTTTGCCCAGAGGGTCGCATTGGTTGCCAATTTTGCAAAGAGGAATGACCAAGTTGACCAGAAGGTGTTAGTTAAGAGGTAAGAAACAGAAACAGTAAAATGAGGTATGCATTACATCCCTCTCGGGTTACATAGCCAGGGAAAAATCTTGGGTATGCTGCCAGGAAATTACAGAGTCCAGGGTAACCCTAGACTTCCTGGCAGGGGCCATCCAGAAACCCTGCCACGAAGTCTAAGATGAAAACTCATGGAAAAACAGGCCTGGACTCCTTTCCACTTCCCTCAGATTTGAATTTCAGTTTTGAAAAACGTATTTTCCGTAGTCATAATGCAATGAAATTTTGCATAGTGACAAAACTAATTATTGTGAGCATATTTATTTTCCATACCCTACATCGTAACATCACACATTTAGCCTTAATAGCACGTAATACAACTAAGACATTACGAGGCCAAACTGTGCATTCTGTGCATTGTAAACTGTGGAAATACCGTTTCGATAGTTTTAATTAATCCAGTGAGATAAGTAACCGTGTGTTAGTAAGTTAGTCGGAGACAATAAATTGGCGGTCAACCGAAGGTGACAGACAACTCCGAAGGTTAAATACTAGTTAGCGCCAGACAGATAAATTAATTAAATAGCACAACTAGAAATGGAACTGGAATCGAAACATGAACTAATTTAGATACTATGACCTTTCCCTCCTTGTAAAAATTGATGACTTTAAGTAACGTATCCAATGCAATGCTGTTATCAATAAATCAATAAGGTTAATAACGAGTTTGAACTAGAGTTTTGTTAATCAACTACGACAACATTTTAAAACATAAACTTTTGAGTTTTTGCCGCTGCACGGCATGCCCTCTCCCTGGACCTCCTCATGTTCTACAATTTTGTAAGTTTGTTTTTGTAAGTTTTTTACTCACGTTTTTTTACTCTTTTTCTTCATTTTGCTCCTGACTTATCCGCCTTTTGGATGGTATCAATCATAACTGCCCCAATCTTAGTTACTGCTGTTCGTTTTGTGCCCGACCGTCTTGAACTGGTTTCGTCAAATGAACTCGCCGAATCTTGGCTTGAATAAGAAACAATTCGTTGTTTTCGACCACGCTTTTTTCCCCGGTTGCTGGAATTTGTTCTGCTTCGCGTTCCACCTCCTGTGGTATATTTCCTTCGGTATCTTCCTTCCTTCGGTTAGCTTCGATCTCTTTTTCGCGTGCCATCGTATACTCTGTTGCCGTCTCATAGTTGCTTGGTCGAATCGTGATGGTTTCGGTTTGTACTTGGTCCTGTCCCCCAATAGACGTTCCTTGTCTCTCCCCTTCAATATCTGCCCCCCCCCCCCCACCAGTTGTCGGTTCAAGTTCTCGACAAGTTCTCTCGTAATGTCCCGTCTTCCGGCAGAAATTACACTTCGCATTTTTGGCTGGACATTTCGTAAGGTGTTCCGGAGTAAACTTGGGTTGGTCACAATGATAACATCTTCTAGAAACTCCTCCTCTCATCTCTGTTCGTCCTCTGAACGATCCAAGGCTGCGCTGTCTATTATTTCGGTATCCTCCTCGGATTGTTCCCACCGGTTCCGTTTTGATCTGAAACGCTCCATTTCCACCGGTGGTGCCACTAGTTGTTGCTCCCCCGGTTGCCGATCCGTATGATTTAACATACTTGTATCCACGTTCGTATGAAATTGCACTACGGTACACCTCCTCAGGTGTCTTAGTCGAACGGCATAGCTCATTTTGGGCCTCTCTATTGTTCATGTTCTTAATGAACACATCCCGCAGAATTCTGGTCTTCAACGTTCCAAAATTACATCGGGCGGCCAGCCCGCTTAACACTGAGTGGAACTGCTCCAAGGATTCTTCTATTTGTCGTTTCCGTGCCAATAATTGGAATGATTCATAAGTTTCTTTACGTTCCTTCTTAAATTCCGTTTCGATAGTATCTAATAACCTTGAGTACCTTGTTGTAGATAAATCTAGATGTGGCCTCCTCTTAGGTAGCTCATCCTGTTTTTTCTCCCCCAGACACAAATACAAGTTCGAGATAAGCGTTTGCTCCGACGCCAGGCGATTTTTTCCGTCTACCTCCTCCGGTAGTGCCGTAACCTGCGCTGCGGTTAACGTACTGGCATAATAGAAGTTCTTCGGATTTAGGCTATGTTTGGCCATCATTCCCCATTGAAAACGATTAAACCAAAACTCCCATAGCATTGGTGGCTCTGCGAACGTCGAGGGCCAAAACGATGTAATCCCCAGTGGGTTTTTCCACCCCACTTTGGCCTGTTGGCTGCGCCATGTGGAAATACGGTTTCGATAGTTTTAATTAATCCAGTGAGATAAGTAACCGTGTGTTGGAAAGTTAGTCGGAGACAATAAATTGGCGGTCAACCGAAGGTGACAGACATCTCCGAAGGTTAAATACTAGTTAGCGCCAGACAGATAAATTAATTAAATAGCACAACTAGAATTGGAACTGGAATCGAATTTAGATACTATGACGAAACGGTTTCCGCAACAAGCCAAAATCAACATCGCTACTTTTCTTTGATCTTCTTTGCTGTTTTGGATTCCATAAACAAATACTTAAAACACTATACCGCTCAAAATCGCTCCAAAATGGGCAAAATTACGAGATCCGCAACTGTATTTGCGGAATCCAGAACAGTTTGTGGAATCCACAAACAGATAACAAGACATGTTTATAGTTACATTAAGCTGTTGCGGAATCCGCAACTAGAAGCGGAATCCGCAAATTGTAAGTGGAATCCGCAAATTGTAAGTCGAATCCGCAAATTGTAAAAAGAATCCGCATTTTGTTTCGGATTCCACTTATACTTGCGGGTTCCACTTACATTTTGCGGAATTCACTTACAGTTGCTGACTATAGAACAACAAGCTATATTTGCTTGTTGTGGAATCCGCAACAAAACAAATGTGTCGACAAAATTTACGTTACAGCTATTTGTACTTGGAATCCACGAAACTTTTGTAAATGGAATCCACTTATTTTTTGGAACATGTTTAAAGATTTGTCTCTGGAATTCAAGAACATACAGGCACAAAATTGTGTGCCTATGCAGTGCACAGTTTGGCCTCGTAAAGGAAAACCGAAAATTTGAAATAGGTGGGCGAAAAGAGCTCAGACCTGGAGAAATCTTAGTTACCCTTCCAAGGCTCTTTTTCGTCCTCCCCAACTGCAACTAGTTCGCATTATCCGATTGTTATGAAAATTGAAATACGAACTGGTTAGGCCATTGCAAACATTTTTGGTCTTCATACTTAAGGTTATAAAACCAAGCGTTACACCATCAAAATTGATGCTCGTGCGAGGTGTGTGTGCGGAAGGGGGTGGTAACAATTTTTGGCTCTTTTTCATTTTCCTCTCATCTCACACGAGCATCAATTATATGGTGTAACGAGTTGTTTTACAAGGTTAAATATGAAGACTTAATATGTTTGTCTTGGCTTTTTTTAGTCCCTTTGCCAATTTTCATAATAATCGAATAATTTGAACAAGTTTTTCATTTGTAAAATTTTGCAGGTGGGGGGGGGGGAGAGAAAAAAGAGCCCAATTTGTTGTTAATTTGGCTTTTTTCCAGTTTCCCCCCTTTCAAGTCCATTTTTGAAAAGTCTACTTAACGTTTTCACAATGCAATGAAATTTGGCGTGGTGAACAAATCTACAATTCTGAAAAGATTTGTTCTTTATAATTTACAGCGTAACATCACGCATCTAGCCGTAATAACACGTAAAACAAACATAAAACTCGGTAGTTTGAAAGGGGGGGTGATGAACTGGAAAAAAGCCTTAGTTTTTTTGTCGCCACAAAGTTGCTTCTAGGTTGAAACTATAGAACAATAAATTATTTTGTTGTATGAAGTTGTCCAGTTTCAATTTTTCACACAATTGAACAAAAAACAAAATGAACGTTTTGTGCTGGAGCCATAATTAGTTTTATTTTCGTTGTTCCGACTATTGAAAATGGGGACGAATTTCGTATTCGACTGTGTTTTTCTTCCTACACAATTTTCAACCACATTGAATATTTTTCAAAAAAAATTCCGAGTGTCGAGAAAATCCGATTAGAAAATTTTAATTTTTCGTCTAATTTCGATCGAATAACTAAAGATAACTTGTTAAATTGTTCAAAAAATAGAAAAAATAATTGAACTTTTTTCAAGTTATCTTTAGTTATTCGATCGAAATTAGACGAAAAATTAAAATTTTCTAACCGGATTTTCTCGACACTCGGATTTTTTTTTGAAAATTTTTCAATGTGGTTGAAAATTGTGTAGGAAGAAAAACACAGTCGAATACGAAATTCGTTCCCATTTTCAATAGTCGGAACAACGAAACTAAAACTAATTATGGCTCCAGCTCAAAACGTTCATTTTTTTTGTTCAATTGTGTGAAAAATTGAAACTGGACATTTTCATACAACAAAGTAATTCATTGTTCTATTGTTTCAACCTAGAAGCAAAAAAAAAACGAAAAAAGTTCAATTATTTTTTTATTTTTTGAACAATTTAACGTCTTTTTTTCATTTTTTGTTTGTTATCTTTTTCTTGAAGACAACTTTTATCGATTATGACTAATTTACTAAATTTTTACGCGTGTGCATAGTATTAGTATCACAACGCGTTTAAAAAACTACATTAATTTGAAGAAGGTAATATTTTGTTTGGGGCGGAGGGGGAGGAGGAGTAGAAATGAAGATCAATTGCTTTTACCAGAAATCATAACTTTTTCATATAATTTTTGCTATTTTTTACACAAAATAACCAAAAAAAAACAGTTTTCTGCGCGAGCCATAAAACTCGGTAGTTTGAAAGGGGGGGTGATGAACTGGAAAAAAGCCTTAGTTTTTTTGTCGCCACAAAGTTGCTTCTAGGTTGAAACTATAGAACAATAAATTATTTTGTTGTATGAAGTTGTCCAGTTTCAATTTTTCACACAATTGAACAAAAAACAAAATGAACGTTTTGTGCTGGAGCCATAATTAGTTTTATTTTCGTTGTTCCGACTATTGAAAATGGGGACGAATTTCGTATTCGACTGTGTTTTTCTTCCTACACAATTTTCAACCACATTGAATATTTTTCAAAAAAAATTCCGAGTGTCGAGAAAATCCGATTAGAAAATTTTAATTTTTCGTCTAATTTCGATCGAATAACTAAAGATAACTTGTTAAATTGTTCAAAAAATAGAAAAAATAATTGAACTTTTTTCAAGTTATCTTTAGTTATTCGATCGAAATTAGACGAAAAATTAAAATTTTCTAACCGGATTTTCTCGACACTGGGATTTTTTTTTGAAAATTTTTCAATGTGGTTGAAAATTGTGTAGGAAGAAAAACACAGTCGAATACGAAATTCGTTCCCATTTTCAATAGTCGGAACAACGAAACTAAAACTAATTATGGCTCCAGCTCAAAACGTTCATTTTTTTTGTTCAATTGTGTGAAAAATTGAAACTGGACATTTTATTTTTCACGCGCAAAATTATGTTCCACAAATAATCAGTGGATTGGGCATAATGATATATCATTTAAAAATTTTTTGTCGTCGTGATTCCAACGACGTCACAAAATTTCAAAAAAAAACCAGTTTCGAAAAGAACGGTCTGAAATTTGTGGTTTTTCGGCTAATTTATACCACATACAGTGAAAATAACTTGGTAAATTGTTCATTAAGACTAGAAAAGCCTACATTTTTCAACGGAAACCAGTTTCGAAATAAATTTGGCCTTTCTCTGGCAAGAAAAAGTTTTTGAACGGTTTTTTTTACAAAATTGTCCAAAAAAACCAAAAACTTTTTAAAATTTTTGTGGATTTTTTTTCTTCATTTTTTGTTTGTTATTCAATTTTTTGAAGACAACTGTTGTCGACTATGGCTAGTTTACGAACGTTTTACGCATGTGCATAATGTTAACATCACACCACATACAAAAAACGATACTAATTTGAAGAACTTTTGTTTTTTTTGGAGGGAGATGGTTAGGGGGAAAAACGAGGAAAAAGCCTAATACCATCATTAAGTTTGCACTTTTTTTGAAGTTTTGTTATTTTGTTTTCGTCGCGGTTTCTTTTGGTTATTGTTTTTCTGTTTTATTATTTTTGAGTATAACGTAAGCCAGATTCAATTTTTCACACAAAAAAAAACTAAAAAATCAAAATTACACTTTTCTGCGGCAGCCGTAATTAGTTTTTGTTTTTGTTGTTCCGACCGTTTTTTTTTACTTTCCAAGCAAATTTAGGTCAGCCAAATAATCAAAGTTCTGAGCATAATGATATACCATAATAACATCTTTTTATCCATGATACGAACGACATTGAAAAATTCCGCATAAAAAATCCCAGTGTCAAAGACCGATTGAAATTTTTTGTTTTTCGGCTAATTAAGGCCAAATAAAGTAAGGATAACTCGGTAAATGGGCATTTAGGCTAATTTCAATGAAAACTAGTTCTTAAAGCTAAATTTGGCACCTCTCTGGCAAGAAAAATTTTTTCAAAAAAATTTTCCAAAAAAATATATAAAATTATTGAAATTATTTTTTTTTTGCAATTTTTCCATTTTTTGTTTTTTATTTTTGCTTTATTATTTTTGCTTTATTATTTTTGCTTTATTAACCGACTATTTTTGCTTTATTATGGTAAAAATTGCCTAAATATGACAGCAAATCATATCAAAAATTCTGATTTACAGAAAAAGTTAAATTTTTTGTTCATAAATCTGTGCGAAATTTATATTGAATAGTGAATCTTCTACTGCAATTTTTCTTGCGATTTGTTTGTCGAATGACTTGTGGGTGCGTTTTTATATGAGTCTTAATTTTTGGTTCTTCTTTGTTTCGCGCAGGCTTAAACACTATTTTCGAATTTATAAATCGACCAAAAAAATCAAGAAGTCTGCGCCTGAACTCTTAGACTGACAAATCCAGGAAGTCAAGGGCAATCCCTGCAAGTCTTTGACATGGTTTTTGACATAGTCAAGCCTGGCTCCAACCCGGGCTGGCTATTAGGATTTTAGAAAAATATTATGTTAGCCAGACCAGCGTGAAACTCGAGTTTACTGGGCTCTTACAAGGTTAGGGATACGTAGACCAGATAGGAAGACAAAATATGTTGGTCATTTCCTAATTAGAGCTCTTTTTCATCCAACCCCTTCCCGCACCTCACACGAGCATCAGTTTTTTAGTGTAACGAGTGGTTTTACAAGGTTAACTATGAAGACCAAAAATGTTTTTTATGGGCTTTTTTCCACTCCTTTCCCCACGTTTAAATTTTTTTTTTCCATTTTCTTAGTTATTATGGCTAAATGTGCGTGTTATTATGGCTAAATGCGTGATTTTACGATGTAAAGGCTCTTTTCCAGTTTCCCACCCCCCTTGTAAAATCACAAAATAAAGCAGTTCAAAAACTGTTCACACGGCACTTCGTATGTAAGAGCTGTTGTCATAATTTGTTCATATAGTCGCGCTGACACGCTGTTCGCGCTGGTCGGAGGAAAAGTTGAAATAAGATACTTTGAGACCCAAGGAATGGTAATCTGGCTTGGTCGGATTACAGGCTTACTAAATATACATACTAACTAACTACATAAAGAACAGGGTTGTAATCTAACGATCGAAACCCTACTTTTAAAAAATATCTCGACTAAGTTAGGTATCGATTTGACCATGTGGCCCTTTCGCATCTGGCCCATATACTCTACTTTAGCTACCAAACTACTGCACAGGGGCGGATTTAGGGGGGGGGGGTTAGTAAAAAATTTCCAAAACAAGCCTAAAAACGCCTAGAAATTTTGGCCAAAATAAGGACTTTTTAGTGCTTTGCAAAGCTCGGAAAACCAATTTGGGGTCAACCTAAAATCCTAGATCCCCCCCCCCTCGAAAAAATCCTAGATCCGCCCCTGCTACTGACTGACATATTATCAAACACGTGGACTCTCCTTATCCCAACTCCCCCATCTGCGAACTTTGAAAAGTAATTTCCACTCTTTTTTTCCATGTACCTGCAATTTTTATGTAATTTTTCTGTTCACATAGTGCGATTGTTACAAAATTTGGCATGCTATAAGAAACATATTTGTTCTTCATGTATAACCTTGTCAAACCCCTCACTAAACTACAAAAACGATGCTTATGTAAAATGGGGGGATGAGTTGCCTAAATTATACAGATTTTCAAATTGCAGACACACTTTTTAAGTAACCTTGAAAACCTATGGTACAATTGAAAACACAACCATGCAATTGATGTATAAGCCTGATTTGTGTTTAATTATTTAGACTGAGGTCGAGAATAAGTGAGTTGGAGGCAGAGATTCAGTCTTTGGAGGGCAAGAACCCTCCTCTGACGGAAGAGGACAAAGATATGTGTTGGAGAGTGAGTCACGAGTTCATAGAGGGCAGGCTGGACAACTTGTTCCCAGATCACCTGAAGACTTGGAATGAACTTCAGGAGAGCATGTTGTATAGTAAGTCAAATCTGCAAACATTCGGTAGACAAAACGCCAAATGAATGTGAAATGATTTCAAAAGGTTAAATTTTGAGTAACCGTTTGCAGTTTGTGGCAATAACTAAAAACCTAAATATTGACGAAGCTTTTCGCAAAACTTCTTCTGAGAAAACTTCGAATCAACAAAAAAATATTAATCAAATTGTTATAGTTTGAATTTTGATTATGAACTGTTGATGCAGTCTACAAAGAAATGCCATATGCTTTTCGAAATGAAATCATTTACATATCGTACATTTTTGAATCTGCGTATTTCAAATTATTCAAAAAATTTCGGTTTGACATTTAGTCCGACAGATGCACAACGATCAAATAGACTATCTCACTTCTGAAGTCAGCAACTGCGACAAGTGCAACAACAGACAACTAAAGTCCATGTGCACTAGTTTCTCGGTCATGGAAAGCTCCAGAACCTCCCGGCCGACTTCAGCTCGGCCGACTTCAGCTCGGCCGCCGACTACACGACGCAGCTCAACACGACAGTCGGCCATTTCATTCCGAGAACACAGTCACAGAACGTCGCATAGAAAATCTTCAATCAAGATGAACAAATCATTTGAGAATTCGTTCATGATGCAAAATTCTGAGAAGTCGTTTTCGATTCAGGAAGTAGATAAAGATGCTGAGGAAGATGATGATGGCGAAGTTCATGGTGACTCGAAAATTGACAGTTTCAAAGATTTGGAGACAATTTATACTCGAAATGGAAAGCGGAACGGTTATTTATCGCCATACGACAAGAAAACGATTCGCGAAATACAAAAGGTATTTAATATCGAAACTCTTTTCCAGTTTGCCACCGCCCTCGTAAAATTAAATAAAAAGCTGTTCAAAAATTGTTCACACGGCATTTTGCATGTATAAAATGCTGTAAAAATTTAACCACCTATTCACCCTGACACGTTTTAATGAAGTTTTGATAAAATGTTACTTTGTTGTAGCTAATTCTAGGTTAAAACTATTAAAAAGAATAAGAATTAAGATGAATTAGTCGATAAGTTAAAACATTAAAGCAATGAGAGATCATTCTCTCCGCCGGAGAGAATGGCTCATGAAGGTCATATATGAGTGACCGGTTAATTAACTAAGTATGTTTTGCAATAATTGCAAAACCTGATGTAAGATCACAACAAGTTTATAATAATAAAAGTCATTTTTTCTAGACTTTGAAGTAATGAAATTCAGAAAAACCAAAGGAGGAAACTGGAAAAGAGTCCAAAACTATCTTTAAAATGTTTTATTCTTGAATGTAATTGAAAGGAATTTTTGCTGAAATGAATTTTGTTTTACATAAGCCAAGGTGAGCAAATAAAACCAATTTACACATTGTTATATAATAGCAAATTGTGAACACTTGACAGAGATTTTTATATTGGGAAATTGGAAAATAAACTTAACAGAGATTTTTATATTGGGAAATTGGAAAATAACAAAATAAAATTTCTTAAGCTCATTTGGTGATTGCATTATTAGCAGTAAATTGGTTAACTTAGGTGTCCAAAGCAGTAAATTGGTTAACTTAGGTGTCCAAAGCAGTTGAGAAAGGTCAGAAGGAGGCGGGGAGTAAGAAGGAGCAGGTGAAGAGTAAGGAGGCGGCTCTGAAGGCGCAGCAGCTGCAGTTGGCACTCTACACTCTGAGACACAAGGCACAGATCACAGCCGAGCAGATGGCAGACCAACACGCATTCGTACTTCAGATGAAACACAACAGGTTAGCTATGTTCTGAACAGGTTGACTCATTATAATTAGAAGTTTCGACTTTTTTTTAGTTTGAACAATTATAAATGAAAAAGTAGCTTTAAAACAACTTCTGATGCTGCAATCTGTATTCATCTAATTGTGGTCATTCAACTTATAACCTTCATCGATCATTTAAACTTTTCTAAGTTTCCTGGATTTTTTCAAAAATAAGGTTCCATTAGAAACAGGGACCCATCTCTGGACGAGGAGGACATCGAACAAGAAAAACTTGCCGAGTTTCAACTGAAGAAGCGTCTCTACAAATTAGAACAGAAGATTCAAGTAGTAGAACAAAACATGGACGTCATTCATCAACACCAACAGTCATCTCAACGCAGTTCACTCCAGGACAAAACAGAGTCGCGTTCAAATAGTCGACACAACTTATCAGAAGACAAACCGGTCGAGGTCATCGGGTCGAATGGCAGTAGTAAAGGTCGAAAAAAGGTTACTGAAGGTCAAAGTGATAGACCGAACTCTGGTTTGTCGAGTGATAATCCAATTTCGCCAAGTACAGTTCAACCGATTTCTTCGATAGGAAATATTCGCATTGCAAGTAATACAGTTTTACAGCATCTTAAAATAGAGAACGAGAGTTTACAAAATAGTTCGAAAAAGTTGTCAAATCAGCAGCTTCAGCAAAAAGATCAAGAACTGTGGATTAAAGAAGAGCAAACCAGAATAAAGCTAGAACAGCTTAAGCGAGAACTTAAGAAACAAGAAGAAAGTGAAAACTTTCTTCATAGAATTCAAAGCAGAAAACCCGTTCAGTCCCGCAGAACTTCAGAATTGCAATCAAACGATGTGATCAAAGTAGAAAATTTGGACGACACTTATGAAAATGTTCTAGAAGATTCTGGAACTTTGAAGAGAAGCGACTATGATGTAGCGCCTGTAAATGGTAGAGGAGATTCAGATATTAATGCAATGAATGTATCATCTAGTTCAGACTCAGATGTGCTGGATGTTTTACACAAACCAAAACAACAACCACCCGAGGAGGTAGGTCAAAGAACTATATTCTAATCACACAAAATGCATTCAAGTTCAAATCAACTGGAAACTAAAAAACATTTGCTCCGCACCATGCTCAGAAATAAATAAAGCGGTGAGTATCCAAACTCTAAAAGTATCATCCAACCTTCATCGGTTTTGTTAAAAATATCCCAGTCCCTATAGAAAAACTTAATCAGCTTTTTTAGAATACTACGTAATAGACAACGAAGAAAAAGTCAGATCTTTTTTAACTTGTTTTAAAGCGCTCACAAGTTTTAACCCCCCCCCCCCCCCCCGGAGTTTAAAAAAATTGAAAATCGTAGTAAATTTTAAAGGTTCTTTCCGACCTTTGTTTTTGTCTTCGAGATTCTTGGAATTTTCTTAACGATCTTTACCGATAATCAAGATTCTTGTCACGATCTTGCCAAGTTTTCAAAGGTTTTTCTTCACGATTTGTCAAAGATTCTTCAAAATGCTAGGCTTGGGTATCCAGAAAGGGTTGATTTAAATTTACTGGACAAAACTAACAAACTTGAAAGCTGCAAACGCGTTTCCTTCAGTTGTCTTTAGACAAAAAATGATAATATCAAAATGTGCTTAGATACTTTTAATAATTCAATCAGAAAAATGAAAAGATTCGAGTGCACTATAGTTTTTAAATTTTCATTCAACTTCAATTAACTGTACTAAAAAGTAAAATTTTTCAACAAATTTTACCGAGAACTGATTAATATTAAAAACTCTAACGGAAGAACTCACAAAATTGAATTACTGTGATCTTAATTGTGACAACTAATTTGTTTTTATATGGCAACTAGCAAGCCAATGAGCACTTGCGATACAAATCAGGGGAGGATTTAGAGGGGGGGGGGGGGGGGAGAGGAGGGCGGACGGCCTTCTACCCAGGGATTCGACCCCCTGCCGAACTAAAGGGTCCCCTGTTTGCACTTTTTTGAGAAACTAATCTTAAGGGGGCAGCGCGCCAAAAAAAAACGCAATTTTTTAGTAAACATTTTCGAAAAAATGCCTAAAAACGGCCGGTTTTTCAAAATTTTGGCGCAGAAATTTTTGCCAAAACAGGCACTTTTTGGTGCTTGGAAGAGCTCGGAAAATCAGTTTGGACGACCTAAAAAAAGGTCGACAAAATTTTTTGAATTTTTTTCTTGAATTTTAGTTCGGACTAACCTGCAATTTCTATGGCTTCAAAGTAGATATGTGTAGACTCAGTGGCGGATTTAGGGGAGGGGGGAGGCCCTGCCGACTTAAATGGTCCCCCTTTGTACTACATTGAGATATCCATTTTTGGCTGACTAACCCTAAAATTTTTCTAAAAGCGCCTTGGGCGCCAACTTATACTAATATTGATCAGGCCAAAAAACGCCTTCACTTATTAACTTATTGCATAAAAAACGGAATATATGAAATTCAAAATGAATATATTTTTAAAAAATGCGGTATATTATAGTAAATTGAAGCATTCTTCAAGCTCACATTTGAGAACTTATTTTCAATAAGAGACTAAAAACTTAACTAATTCAATAAGAGACTAAAAGCTTATGATAATCGTAAGTGATTTTACATTGGCTATACTTTTACATTGCAAGATAATGAGAGCTTAAGAAGTGAAATGCCTTTCACGTACACGTAAATAAGACTGTGGTGCTTGCAACGAAACGAACTACGTGGAAAAGACAAAAAGTGCACATTAAACAATTTCAAACAGCAAAGATGCTTATCATACAATTCCATACATTGAATTTATAGAAAAAACTGCTCCCTTGTCATATAGAAATTTTATATAAGAAAACTGTACGACAAGCATTTTTCTACATGGCTAGATGGAAAACTTTTGTTGCAAGATCATTACGAGGCCAAACTGTGCACTGGATAGGAGCACAATTTTGTGTCTGTACGTTCCTGGATTCCAGAGACAAGTCTTAAAATATGTTCCAAAATGTAAGTGGATTCCACAAACAAAATTTCAGTGGAATCCATATACATATACGTGTAACGTAAATTTTGTCGGCACATTTGTTTTGTTGCGGATTCCGCAACAAGCAAATATAGCTAGTTAATCGGGATTACGCATCTGTAAGTGGATTCCGCAAAATGTATGCGGAATCCGCAAATGTAAGTGGATTCCGCAAATTGTAAGTGGATTCCGAAATTTGTTCAATACTGAACTTGCATATGAACAATTAAAAGCTGAAATGGAATTCTTATCTCTAGCAATGCGGAATTTAAAAGCAAAGACTTAACCATTTTCAGTGGAATCCACGAACAAATTTTAAAACATTGAATACCTAAATCGGTGAATGTCATCTTTTTGGAAAGTATTTTGGAAACACAACAGCGAACAATTTCATTATTTGGAGTCATTGAGTTGAGAGTGTATGGAACACACAGCATATCGACAAATACTGATTTTGGAAGCATAACGCCAAATAAATGCAGTAATTGTAGTCATTGGGTTGAGAGTGTATGGAAACACAACACACAGCATATCGCCAAATGAGGTCAGTATTTGGGATTCCATCGATCCCAAATACTGGTCAGTACTTGGGATTGATGAAATCCCAAAAACTGGAATAATGTGGAATAAATATAGAATATATCCATTATTTGGAGTCATTAAGTTGAGAGTGATTAGAAACTCAACGCATAGCGAATCGTCAAGTTAGTTCAGTATTTGGGATTCCATCGATCTCAAATACTGGTCAGTACTTGGGATTGATGGAATCCCAAAAACTGGAAAAATGTGGAATAAATATGGAATATATCCATTATTTGGAGTCATTATGTTGAGAGTGATTAGAAACCCAACGCATAGCAAATGGTCGAATTAGTTCAGTATTTGGGATTTCATCGATCCCAAATACTGGTCTGTAATTGGGATTCAATTAATCCCAAACACTGGTCTATTCTAGTAAATTTCTACTCTAGTGAATTTCAATTCTAGTGAAATCAAATCATGTATTTAAAAGATATAATTTTAATGGCTACTACACATACATATTTGTAAAGGGAATCCGCAAACAAAATGCGGATTCCACTTACAATTTGCGGATTCCTTTTACAATTTGCGGATTTCACTTACAGTGGCGCATTCCGCAACAGCTCAATTTAACGATACAATTGTTTTACCATTTGTTTGTGCATTCCACAAACTGTTCTGGATTCCGCAAATACAGTTGCGGATTCCGCAAATTCGCCTATTTTTCGAGCGATTTTGAGCGGTATAATGATTTAGGTATTTGTTTGTGGAATCCAAAACAGCATAGAAGATCAAAGAAAAATGGCAGTGTTGCGCATTCCGCAACAAATCTGATTTTGGCCTGTTGCGGATTCCGCTTACAATGCAGAGAAGGCACAGTTTGGCCTCGTAATGATCAATTCTAAGAATTTATTTTTGTTTTGTTCCAAAATCGATTCTATGCTCAAACCAACAATTTCCGAGAAAAAAAATGCCGGCAAAAATTGCAAGCTTTTTTTAAATCTAAAACGTGGTCCAGGCTGAGTCTTTCTTATATAATTGATCAAAAGTGACTATGAAATTGCTTGGGTATTCAAAAAAACAATTTCGGCCATTTTGTACAAAACGTAGTCCAGGCTGAATTTTGCACATATGAATGAAAACGACTATGAAATAAAAATAAATAATTGCCACAAATAAAAACAAAAATAATGTAGACTTCCTGTTTGTTCCGACAATTTGAAAAATGTGAAGGAATTTTGTAATCGTGTTTTTAAGATAATTTTTTGCTGTCCACTTAAAATCAGGTACCAAAGGTAATTATCGGAATTTGAAAAAATGCTATCCAATGTAGAGAAAAACCAGTTTCTATTTTTTTCTGGTCTAATTTCAAGCTCATACGGTGAGCGTGCAAGATAACAATAGCCAATTTAAGCCACAAAAATTTAACTTTACTTCATTAAAATTCGTTTTTGGAGTTTTTGAAGAATTTTAAAAAATGTTTTTTGAATTTTATAAACATTTTGTTTTGTTTTTCTTTAAATTTTTCTTCAAAAACTGTTTTCCGATTCATTTGACTGTTTTATATGACTGTCAAATCAGCCTAAGTTTTGTTTTGTTCGGTTTTATTTTGTTTTATCACACCACGCAGATAAAACGACACAAATTTGCAAAAAAAAAACTTTTTTTTTGTATTTTTTAAGGTTATTGTCGGAATATTCTGTGCTACTTGCACAGTAACCGGCTTTCCTTGCTTTATTTTTATTTTAAGTACCTGAAACCGCGAAGCATCTGATCACCTTAAGCCTCAAAAATTCTGATTTTTACGAGGTCGGATCAACGCGGCCTTCAAATCTGCTGAGGCTTTTTTATTTTTGGCTTTCTTTATCGAACTATTGGAGAGGAAGTTTGTCTTCAGTTCCGTTTTATTTATTAAAAAGTTTTCATAGTTTTTTTTCACTCAACAATTTTCCACAAACAATCATCGAAACAGAACGAGCGATATATCATATTAAAAAATCTACAGTCCAGATTCGAAAAGTTTTTAAACTTTCGAACAATTGATCTATGTCGAGAAAACGCACGCGGTCTCATGTTTTTTCTTTTTCGTCAAATATTGAACAAGTAAAGCAAGCGAGTATACAGCGAAAAGCGCATAATAAGGTATAAATGAGTTTTTACCTTAAATATGTAGTTTCAGCGTTTCGTCTAGCATTTTTCCAGCTTAAAACTGAAAAAATTACATAAAAAACTCTTGAAAATGAAATTTGAAAATAGGGGAACGTTGGGGACTTTTTTCCGTTTTTATGAACTGCAACAATAACTTTAGAGTATTGAAGCCAGTAAATGTTTTTGCAGGCTATGTTTTGCCTCTCCGATCTACACATGCACAAAAACCACAAAAATTTTCTTACAAATAGCTGATTTCTGTGCAAGAAACAGACACTGAGCTGCTATGACTTTTTTTGCGATTGAAAACTTTTAAAGTTTTCTGGTAGTTTTTCAGACGATGAGGCATTGCTTTAAAGGATATCATCCTAGTCTATCATCCTATCCTTAGAGCGCAAAATGGATTGCATGAGATCAGGGGCGGATTTAGGGGGGGGGTGGGGGGCGGACGTTTTCTTCCATCAAGGATTCGACCCCCTGCCGACCCAAAGGTTCCCACCTTTAAACTATTTTGATATATCCATTTTTGGCTGATGGACCCTGAAATTTTACAAAGGTGCGTTAGGCGCCATTATATACTAACTTTAAGGGGGAGCGCGCGCCGAAAAACGTGAATATTTTGGTAAAAATTTATCAAAAAGTGCCTAAAAACAACTTTTGGCTTGTTTTTTCAAAAATTTGCCTGAGGCGCAGAAATTTTAGACAAAAAAGGGACTTTTTTGTGGTTTGGGCGAGCTCGGAAAACCAATTTGGTCGACTTTGAAAAAAAGCCCCACAAAATATGGAACATTTTTTGAAAATCTGCCCCCCTCCTCGAGAAAATCCTAGATCCGCCCTTGTATCAGATCAATTTTTTGGCAATGAGAGAAAAAATATTTTGAAAGCTTTAGCTTGATACCGCATTCGCTGAACTACAATATAGATTAGAAGAACTTGATATTGCACTGAAAATCACCTCAGAAAGGTCACATTTACTTTCGAGCGGGCTCGCAAAAACAATTAAGGTAAATTAAATATTGCAAAATCTAGACCACAATTAGCCAAATTCTTTTGAACAAAGAAAAAATGACGAGAACGACTCAGTTAACCAAAACTTGTAAAGGGGCAGAAAAAATTTAGAAATCATTTCCTTGCCCCAATTACAATTAAGCCTCTACTGTCGTCCTTAACGAAGCTGAGAGAAAGGGATCTATTTTGTCAAAATTTTCTGCGCCGCGAAAGTTGACCAAAATGGGTGTCCCAACATAGTGGTCAGGTGATTGAATCACCCCATCTTAATATACTTCTACCAGAATACTTATTTTTTCGAATTTAAATGGGAAACTTAATGGGTGTCCCAACATAGTGGTCAGGTGATTGAATCACCCCATCTTAATATACTTCTACCAGAATACTTATTTTTTTGAATTTACATGGGAAACTTAATGGGTGTCCCAACATAGTGGTCAGGTGATTGAATCACCCCATCTTAATATACTTCTATCAGAATACTTATTTTTTCGAATTTACATGGGAAACTTAATGGGTGTCCCAACATAGTGGTCAGGTGATTGAATCACCCCATCTTAATATACTTCTACCAGAATACTTATTTTTTCGAATTTACATGGGAAACTTAATGGGTGTCCCAACATAGTGGTCAGGTGATTGAATCACCCCATCTTAATATACTTCTACCAGAGTACTTATTTTTTCGAATTTACATGGGAAACTTAATGGCTGTCCCAACATAGTGGTCAGGTGATTGAATCACCCCATCTTAATATACTTCTACCAGAATACTTATTTTTTCTAATTTACATGGGAAACTTAATGGGTGTCCCAACATAGTGGTCAGGTGATTGAATCACCCCATCTTAATATACTTCTACCAGAATATTTATTTTTTCGAATTTACATGGGAAACTTAATGGGTGTCCCAACATAGTGGTCAGGTGATTGAATCACCCCATCTTAATATACTTCTACCAGAATACTTATTTTTTCGAATTTACATGGGAAACTTAATGGGTGTCCCAACATAGTGGTCAGGTGATTGAATCACCCCATCTTAATATACTTCTACCAGAATACTTATTTTTTCGAATTTATATGGGAAACTTAATGGGTGTCCCAACATAGTGGTCAGGTGATTGAATCACCCCATCTTAATATACTTCTACCAGAATACTTATTTTTTCGAATTTACATGGGAAACTTAATGGGTGTCCCAACATAGTGGTCAGGTGATTGAATCACCCCATCTTAATATACTTCTACCAGAATACTTATTTTTTCGAATTTAAATGGGAAACTTTCTTTCAAAGTTTTGTTCTCAGCAACGTAATGGGATCGTTCAAAAACAACAAAAAATGAAGCAACAAAACAAAATTTGATGAATCATTTATGTTGTTTTGATTTATTTTTCACATTACGAATTGTTTTGTTGCGTTTAGCCTATTGGAGTTCAAGCAATGACTGAAAATGACCGCCAGGAAAAATCAAACTACCTCGAAAGCCAGCAGGAAATAATCATGAACAGATTAAGAGCCCTCCAGAAAAGTACAACCCTCTCACAGCACACAACAGTCAACAATGACAGCCTAGCCGAAATTTCATCTCTCTCGGCAGCCATACGACTTCGGCCGAGTCCCGACATCGGAAAATATTCCACGACTTCGTTCGTGTCAGAAAACGGAGACGAACCTCAACGCATGAGTAGCCCAGCGACACATCATTTGGGCACATTTACCAATGGCAGCTTAGAAGGGTTTAAAGCGGAAACAAGGTGATGATAAAACATTAAATTGTTCTTTTTGTTGTTTTTTTTGCCTTCTGTAAAACCAAAGCTTTAAAATATAAGTTTGTAAGAAATAAAACTATTTATTTGAATTTGAGAAAGTTCATGCCCTGTTGTTTTACACTCGATTGTCAAAGCATAAGGAACTAGGGAATAGATGATGATTTTTTTTCATATCATGACTTTTTCTCATGAATTAAAATGAGATATACGCGCTTTAAAAAGATTTTTAATTGGACAAAAAGCCGTCTTGTCAAAACTCAGCAGGAAAACAAGGCATGCTTTTTCAGATCTCTAATTTGTCGTGCCATCTTCTTCAAAGAATAAAAAATCGAAAATACTGAGATGTATTTTTGTAGAGGACTTTTCTGAAGTAATCTTTGAGACAAATGCCAAAATTTTTTGTTTGTCCAGATACAAGCTAACGTTAAATTTTGGCAGAGATGAAAAATTTCCATAACTTTTCGCCGCTTTAATTTTTATTAAATTTGGTTAACAAGACGATTTTTTTTATTTTTGATTCAACTATTTGATTTTTACCTGCCAAAAAAATTGCTAATTTGAAGAATAATTTTTTAACCAATAAATCATAACAGTATTGCCGGCTCCAGAAATTGTTATCATAACTATATCTTTTAGAAGCATAGCACATCAAATTTTAGCTAGAGTTTCTTGAGTACCTGAACTCAGAAATCACATAAATGACCCATTCGTACGTACAATTAAACGCTTCAGCGCAAAATTAATAGTTATTGACAATGGGGAGCGGGGCCTCCAGACCTCCGCAGCCACAAGCGTCTAACAAAAACGCAAACAGAAGAGGCTCAGCTGTTAAACGCGGAGGCCAAACCAAGAAAACAACAACAACCACAACAACCAGAGTGATTACCAAGACAAGCACAACAGGTGTGAAAACGAACAATAGGGTTGTTCAAAGTACAAAAAAACAGACTGTAGAGTTTTCGTCGATTGATGACAAGAGCCCAGTTCAGAAACCACCAGGCTACGAGGAGGCGAAACTAAAAAAAGAGATTGACAGAAAAAAACGAAGGTACGTGATTGTATCGAATCAATAATTGCCAATTACTTATGGATGTTTAGCAAACTTTCATCACCGTAATTTTATGCGGCTAAAAAAAATTTTTCGGAATAATTTTTAGACATTAAAAGTTTTTATTGTTAAAACAAACAAGATTTTAAGCAATTAGAAGAGAAAAATTTGGTTAAAAAACGGATATTGAAACCACAATTGTAAACATTATAATGTTCTTTTTTCAAGCTACTACCCACCGATAAACGTGATACGCAAGCGAGGTCGGGCCCGACATGTTGCGGCTGTCTACAGAATGCAACAGCGACAAGCTGAGAAACTCGGGGATAGGCCGACGGACAAAGAGGGCATGATTGAGGAGGACAACTATTCCTTGGACCAGACACCGGGTAGATTATATATTTCTTAAGGCTTGAATATATATTTTTAGTGCTCGTTGCTTGAAGGTGGGCAACATTACCCAGCCCAGAAAAATCATTACAAAAAAACTGTATGTAGATTTGAAACAGGGGCGCATCAGCGGTTATCCGTGAAAAGCTGAATAGCTCGTATGTTGGCCATTTTCCGTGTGGATAAACCGTCTTAACAATAATCAATACGAAGGGGTTGACACGTTAATTGGATTTCACAACTGCCTTCTGTTTTAAAAAAAATTGTTTTCAGACTTATGATCATTATGATCACAGAACGCCATTAGACAATATGGTCCGTTTTCAGACGTCTCTGAACGGAAAAAATTATCCAACTTGTATAAGACATTTTTGAAGAGATTATATCTTGAAAAAAATTTTCGTAAAAAATGGAGAAAAACAACAATTTAAACATATTTTAATGTCAGAATGCTCTGGTTTCTGGTTTAAAAAAATGTACCGTCACTTTGAAGAAAGTACACCCTCAAACCACGCGCATCATCGCGAAAATCATTTTGAAAAAAATCAAAAATTGCATTCAGCAACATATTTCGAAGTTCTAAATATTGTTTTTGACTTTTTCTTTATTTCTAGTTTTTTAGCAGAATTCAAGATGCTTTTAAGTGATATAAAAGGACCATTCTTGCGAAAATTGATGGCTAGAAAAAAAAGATCTGTGGAGTGAAGGGAGATTCATTGTTGAAGATGCATTTCTTCACTAAATATGAATGGTAAAAGTATTCAGCCCAATTTTTCAGGACACCGAACAAAATTTTTTGAAGCATCTTCGATGAAAACGAAAAAAAAAATCAGTGCAAATGCGTTCAAAAAATTGCAAGGATATGAATAAAAAATATTCAAGAGAACCAAAAATGAAAGAAAAGGATTAAGCTATTTGACATTGTAATCAAATGTGAACAAATTTTACAAAACAAATCTCGAAAGTTTCTAGAGCTAAACTAACTGTTCCACAAGAAAACACCAAAAATGGTTCTGAAACATAGAAAATTCAACAAATTACAAACGGCAGTTGCAGCCAAAACATGTTGAAAGAACTGATTAGTCCAGAAAATAATGAAAACACTAATGACTGCAATGCATAACAAAGCAGTGTTTTTGGTTAAACAAGTTCTTTACAGGAAAAAAAATATCGTAACCGAGAGGATAACACTTGCTGAATACAAATGAAAAAACAATGATAGTCGGTTGGTGTGCAAAAAGCCCAGAGTAAAATGAATACTTAAATTTGACAAAAACAAAAAAAAACAGAACTTTTTGTTTATTTTTTAATGAGCGATATGAGACTCAATGAAATATTGACCATAAAACCAGTGAAAAACACTGTAAATACTGAGCGTAATGTAAAAACTGACCAAAACTGCATTAGTCTGAAAAACAAGAAACATGATACCACACTTATGATCTCCAAAATATTGCACATAAGGTTTGAAAGTTGTATTATAAATCAACATTTGGAAATTAAAGTTTTTGGTTGGCAAACATAAATGTATAAGATTATTGCAAAAAAATGAGAACATATCCTTCTTATATTTTATTGCCTTATATAATTTGCTCAAAAATGGACCCTCTAGTTTTGGCGTAGCTCTTGATTCATTTAATGAGCCAAAATTAAACCGATTTTGTGATGAAATGTTGGGTCCGAATGTCGCAGGATAACCAGCGACATATTTTTCTGGTCTAATTCTAGGCAAGTTTTGCTCTATCCCTTTTTGCTTAGTGACAACAAAAAATGAGATAATCGTGTTTAAATTTCCATTTTCTTCTTTTGTCTGGATAATTTAAATCAGCACTCTCAATTTTGTTTCCTTTTTTTGCGTCTGAGTTTGTTTCTAATACATGTCAAAAGTGCATCCGGTTACAATCACGCCTGAGTTTTCCAAACAACATTCACTTGTATGTTCCGACTTTCGAAGAAAACGGAATATTTATGCACGGTATGGTTTTTTTCATTCAGTCAATTTTCACCGATCGAAGAATATTTTTCAACAAAATTTTTTTACCCCATTGAAGATATTGACTTCCTGAACAGCTGTCATAATAAAACTTTGAGCTATAAAGTCTTTACAGAATATGTTGTTCTGATGCGGGATGTAATGCGTAAATTTCAAAAATTGGTTTTAACTATAATTGTTATTAGTCGCTTATTCACGGATTGCCTACTTTCCGTTCTTAAAAATGGATTCAATATCAGACAAAAAAAGATTCCAAAAAAATTTCAAGTCATTTCAAAGAGCATAAATTTGTAAACTTACGAAGCAGTGGGACATTTTCACCTCGCCTCAAGTTTGCTTCAAATATATTATGAAACGCGCAAATAGCTTTACAGGGAAATCAGCAAAGCCAAATTGTTTGAGAAAAGCCCGGTTCACCAGCATGCCCATTTTTATTTTAAAAAATGACTTTATCAACATAAAATAAAAAATATTTATTTATATAGATGAGAGCGTACCAATTTGTACTGCGAAGAAGTCAAAAATCTGTTAATGCACTTGAATGATTACTGTTGAAATTTGCAGGGTAGTTTTTGAGAGCAATCAAAAAGTTTCCAAAAAAAGAAAAAAGTTGAAAATTTTGATATTTCTGAATAGCCATATATTTTTTCGAAAAACCAATAGCCTAAATATTTTATTTCTATAAACGTTTAATATCAGGTTCGTCAGGGTAGTTTTCAATAAAAATAATAGATTTCGAAAAAACGACCAAAAAAATTACTTTCACGAAAACTATAATTTATTTTTTTTTCACAAAAGTTGGGGTGTAGCTGCTTACTACACTGTGATGTTCTTACAACCTGTTTTTCCGATTGATTCTTTAAACCCAGATTTGGGAATGTACTTTTCGAGCAAAGACGAAAAGTTTCTCAAAAACGGTCGAAATGTCAAACTTTACTGGTATGACAAACGGTATAAGTAGAAGATGCAGCCGTTCATGCACGGAAACTTTTTTCGGTTGAACTTTTAATCACAGATACGAGATGATAGTTTTTGAAAAAAAAAGTTTGGAAAACTTCAATCAAAAATTGAACTAACTGTCAAAAGAATGCTTTTTTTTGAAGCCACAGTTTTTTCTATTACAATTAGAATGCTTCAATCAAAAATTGAACTAACTGTCAAAAGAATGCCTTTTTTTGAAGCCACAGTTTTTTCTATTACAATTAGAATGCAGCGATTCATGCAGACGAAAACCCCATTATCTATTTTTTGTTTCATTGGAAAATTATTCTCAGATATGGCGCGGTAGTCTCTGATAAAATTTCAGGAATATGAGTCAAACATTAACGCCGTTGAAATTTTCGAAAGCCGTTGAGGTGCAGTAAGGTAGAGAGAAATTAAGTGAATGTGCAGACATTAAATGTACCAGGCGATGTTTTTGTTCGTGTCAAATTTATTAAATCGGTGAAGTAGTTGTTGCCGAAAAAAAATTAAACTTTTATTGAAAAAAATCCAAAGCGTCTCAAATAATAATCATTATATTAAAAAAAATCCCATACATTTTCCAAATACCTGATTTTGTCAAATATATTTTTTTGCCCCCGAAACTACGCAATATAATTTGATTAATTCGATAAAACATTAGCCAAAACCGTTTAATAAAAAAAAAATTTAATAAAATTATTGAAAATCAAACTTGGTAAAATGACATATTAGAACTTTCAAAAAACACTATAAAATTTTAAAATAAGATCAAAACAATCAATGTTTTACAAAGTAAGCCGATAAAAACAGTACCAGATAATATAAATGCTATTAAAGAAACCGGAGAAAGAATCGACCAAAACTATTCCAAAAACCAAGAATCCAAAAAAATCAACATTTTTCAAGACTACACTTATTTACTGCCTGATTGAAAGTAATTTTGAAGTTTTGATTGAACTTTCAAGAAAAAAGAGCATGCTTCAAAATTTACCATTTCTACAAAACTGATCATTCTGTGATTAAAATTATTTACGGAAAAAAGTCTAGTACCCCATTGCAATACCCTTGGTTAACGCAAGTTAAAAAATTGAGCTTAACAGTTCCGAAATTTTAAATTCCTACGTCCCATAGAACGACACACAGACTAACGAAAACCAATTTGCGCTTTTTAAGAAACAAAATATAAAAAAGTAACCAAAATAAGTTACATCGAAACATTTTAAGTCGAATAAACTCTTTGAGAGAAAAATTGACACGAACATTGCGAAAAAATGGGATCGGGAGACTTAAAAATAGTCAGAGGTCAAGCGGAGCTTCACACCACTTGCGACCTAAAAATAAATACCAGTGTTTATGCGTAGAAAAAAATTGACAATAAAAACTGCAAAATACTACCATATTTATCAAATTCTTTTTAGTTTTTCATGTGTAATCGGGCACGTGATATTCTCTAACTTGTTTTTACAAAAACTCAGTATACAAATTTGAAACAGGCGGAGAAATATTAGCGGAACACGGAAGAAGTTAATACAACTTCAAAAAAATTACGACTAGGCTCAATCAATTTCTTTTCAGCACTCAGAGGCTGATAAAATTCAAAATTGAATTTCAAAAACAAGTCCAAAAATTGTATATTAAAAGTTTTTGAACATTTTCCTTGCAACAAAATTTTCAGCAAAACTTATCGGAACTCAATTACCCGCACCACTACATAAATTTTTTCATTAAGTCATTACTTGAGTTCGTGTTAACTAAACCTAAAAAAAATAAAGCAAAAAACAAAGCGAACAAATCTAAAAAAAACTTCAGTTCGCTAAAATAACATTGCACCCTGGACCTTGAGATGGACGTTTCTTCTTCTCTATATGCTGCATGAGAAGCTAAATTTGAATTGATTATAAGTCAAGCTATCACTTGTTTTAGGGATTCTGTTAAACAAGTTGTTATCCTGAAAACCAAAATTTCCATGTGCTCATTTTCATTTGATAACTCTTGCTAATAGCAGTCGTAATCAAGTTGAAATGTATAACATACTCGCGCGTGATTTTTGTGAAAAAAGTTGCAGTAGTGAAAAAAGGCAAAAACCTGGTTGGAATACTCTTCTTAATCACACAAGTAGCAAGGATAGCAAGTTGCAGTGAAAGTAGCAGACTATATTCCGACCATCTTTTTTTTAAAATTGTATCGCGTTTGTTTTTGGTTTGAAGAGAGAATCTAAGTGAACTCTAGAAATTCGATAGTAAAAAGAATTAGGGATATTAGACAACAGTTTTTTTCCTACAATAAATATCAATTTTTTGAAATTTTGATGATCACTTGGTTTGTTGATCACTTTTTGAAATTTTGTTGATCAATTCGTTCTCAAAGGCGCTAAAATAACTCTCGATGATTAATTTGATTTGGGTAACGCTAAGTAATAGTTAGTTTTTAAAGTTTAAAAACAACTATTCTAGGCCTACTGCAAGTCTGCTCGCTCGCTGTTCGCATGAAATTACACGGAACATCAAAAAAACCAAACTGTTTTTTACTTTAGAAAAAATGTTTGGAAGTTTTTTTAAATGTCATTCGAATCATGTGTGGAAGGGATTTAATATGAGACATGACTTGCACCGTTACAATGCTTATTTGTGGACCATTCCGATCCAATAATTCAAAATTCCCCAGGAAAAACTTCTAGTTCAATAGACTTTTTTAAAAATGCGGTACAGTTGGATTTGAGCCATAGAAATTAGGCTCCTAGGAATTAGGCTCCCAAGGCATGCACTTCACCACTATACCAATTAGGAAGGACTTAGAGGTTACCCAAAAAAGCAATATCAATTCCTTACAGATTTCTCAGAAAAGTTGTTTACGGAAAAAGTCTAGCTCCCGATTACAATTACACTTGCTCTCGCAAATGAAACATAACTAAATTTTAACTGAAAAGCCTTCACTGTCAGACTACAATTATCATCATCGACCATGCCAACAGGTTTTTCAAATCGCTGGAAAAACTTCCTACGAAAAAGTTCCTGGCCACTTTTCAAGGAAAACGGAAGAAAGTGGAGTTATAAAAGTAATTAGATGCACCCAATGTTTTATCAATTGTCATTCATTTTTTGTTTTTGTTTTCAGCTGAGCAGAGGTCATGGCAAACTTGGCTGGATAGACTAACAACTCTATCTACTATCAACGAGGACGAGCAGACTATGGGCGGAGAGTACTCGACTTCATCAAGGTGTGTCCGAGATCAAATATCGAAAACTTTTTAAAATGATATCTTTTTGAAAAAATTCTGTGACATTATAAGCCATCATTGGTTCAAGTTGTTTAAACACTCACTTAGAGAAAAATCATCAATACAAGAAAGGAGCTAGATATCTATCCTGACAATTCTTTCTTTACACGCAGGGGCGCTTCTGAGCTGGCAGATCTGTTGTCCGTTCATTCATTCTGCCATAGTCTAGCAACCAAAGGGTCTGGCTTCTGGGAGATACCAGTGCGAGTCAACAGATCCTTCTCTCTTCCAAACTTCCAGCAGGAACAGATGGCGCTTCTCAATCGCTACGTCCAATCGGCCCATCCAAATAACTCAACCCTGGATGCGAGTTTGATGCGACCTTTGAAATCTGCGGTTGAAAATGACGACCGCCATTCACAAATGAGAAAAACCGATAAATATTCCCGACTTACAATCGAGGGTATTGATGGTGATTTGAACATTGAGGATTTCTTGTCTCACTTAAGTGGACCACCAAGTCTGGCATTGCATTCAATTCCAGAAGACGACGGCGGGCTCTCGCTGTCCAAAACAGAGTCTCCTAGATCCGAAATGAAAGAAGATGAATTGCAAGTTCCGACTGAAATTCAACGAGCTAATAGCGACCCTTTCCCATGGATGCAGTACCCTGTTATGTACCAAAAAGGAATCCGAAAAGCTAGAAGTCTGTCGGATATCGAAGAGATGTCAAAATTGCAATTCGATTACTTGGATCTCTCAGAACTGATTCAAGATGACTATGAAATCGAAGGTGGTATCGCAAACAGCACTCAAATTGAAAGCACTGATAAACGCCGTCACACCATTACGAACCCTAACTCATTGCAATATATGACATCACTTGTCGACTTAGAAGGACGAAGTTTGTCGCAAGATGATTTGTTTTACTTGAAAGATAAAATGAATGCTTTCGACGACTTGATGAAAGAAAAACCAAATCACGTGTCGCAAGTGATAAGATTAGCTGACGAAGTGCATCGTAATATTGGCTTCGAGAAGCGACAATGGTCAGAAAACGGAAGTGGCAACTTGGAACCACGAAGTTCATTTTACAGCACACATCATGCATCGGTTCCGATTTTAATTGATGGCAATACTTCAATTGATACACGTGAAAACTCAACGTTTTCAAATGTTGTTGTTATTTCTCCTCCCAACAACACACAGAATCGACGAGTCAGTTTTAACCTTGGATCTGTTGCGAAAAATGAGGAGTGTAAAAACGATCTGAAAATGACAAATTCGTCCATCGAAACATCTTCATTGATAATGAACAAAATCACAACAGTGGAATCAAGCCCAGAGCATGAAAGTTCGAACTTCATACCACCACTCGTAGCATTTGGACGAAGTCAAAGTAGTTCGATAATTCCGGATAAAGGGACCAAAGTAGCACAAGAGAATCCAAGAAAGACTAAATCTGGTGGTACAGAAACTGTTCAGGAAAGTGAATTGAAACGCGTGAACTCAAAACGAACTGAAACGCGTGAATTCAAAACGGAGCAAGTGAAGGTTCAAAAAATGAGTTTTCAGCCGTCCTTGATGGCTCCTGGTCGGAGCCAAAGTGGGTCCGAAATTCCAAACAAACAAACCAAAGACGTCGAAGATGATCCAAGACGAACAAAATCCAGTGGTCCTGTAATTGACGCTCAAAAAATAAATTCCAAACAACCCAATTTTGAAACGAAAACTGTTATACAAAAAGAGATGATTTCCGAGATTTCAGAAAAAGAGTTGAAACCAGCTCCGAACATCTTTGACCTTAATAGCAGACCGCCAGTAAACGGACGGCCTAACAGCTTACCGACAAAGACAAGTGAAAATGTGAATCCTTCTCGAGAAGTAAAGTCTAGTCAGGCTAAGTTTTCCGATTTTGAAAAACGTCTTCCTAAAAAACAGCTTCCTGAACATTCCCAAACTATCTCAGCAGTAAAAGAACAACCCCTTCAAAATGAGCCCGACAACTTTTTCGATGAAGAAAACTTGAAATCTGACACTAAAGGCGTAGTGGAAAAAGAGCCCAGCTTTGATCTTGAAGAAACCCCTGTTTTCAAAGAGGCCGAAGATCCAACTAAGAGATCCAACAGCTTACCCAGTGAAACTTTGCCTGAAACTCGCCCTCGTGAAGAGCGAAATATTTCTTGGCCGCAAGCGGCAATGGGAACAGCAATATATTACCCTATAAGAGAAGAAGGATGGATCGTATCTGTTCCTGAAAAAGTTCCAAGTAACGCTTCAGAAAAAAAAGCTCCTGATTATGTTTCTTTGAAATCTGACATAAACGAAGTACCAGTTCAGATTTTCATCGGTCCAGAATACTCGATTTTGGACACTTATATTTCAGCTGAAATAACAGAACCTCGGCAAACTTCCCATTTCGATGAAGATGTAGATACAAAACCGAATTCAGGAGAACCGACACCAAAAATAGAACAAAACCATCAATTTGAAAATGGAAACTGTCCAAGAAGCTCCTCGAAAGAGGATAGTTTAAACACAAGCAAAAGATCTATTTTGAGTCAAGAATCACCTCGCCGAGTGATAGTTCAAAACGTGCCTCAGCCACGTGTAACCCGATCGCCGACTAAAAACTCATTACGAAGCTCTTCCAAAACGTCTCTGAAAAATGTAAAAGAAGAACGGCAACCATCTTTGAGCAAAATCGACCTCAACTCAGCGCCTGAATTAGTAACGAGAGCTAGCTTTATGAATCGAGATTCGCCGAGAAAACTTCATCGCAACGACGAACCTTCGGTTTTGAACATGAGCATTGTGAGTATAAGTGAGAAACCAGAACTGGAAAAAGCAGAGGCGAGTTCGTTTGAAAAACCGAATGCTCACAAATCCGAAAGTTTTATGTCAGTTTGGGACAAGCCAAAAAGTCCAACTCCGAGAAAAACAAGTTCTGGGACGATTGAATCAATTGAAACTAGCAGACTTCCCGAACGTCAAACGTCGACGCCTAAAATAACAGCTAGCCCAAGGTCACAACAACCGTCATTGAGCAATTTGAGACAGGAATCATCAGATTCAAAGTTAGATTCCCCAACTCGTCTTCCGATTCGATCTGGAAAGACTCAGAAGCCAATGAAGATATCAAGAGAAACCCCTGCTACAGTTCGAGAAGAATCTTCAAATTTGGCCTCCTCTCCAGAGCAAACAAAATCAATTCTACCTAAAATAGATGTCAAGATTCTGCCCATGGAAATCGACAGTCAGAAGAAAGCAGAAAAGCAGGGCTCAAATGATGAGAGTATGATGAGTGATTTGGAGATAACGCAGTCCACGATAAGTCCTAACGAACTTCCTCAAGTAGAGGCGGATCCATCGTATCGAAAGAAATTTATCGACTCTGTAAACCCGGATCAGATAAATAGGTTCAAGCCATTCACTTCCAAAAACCCTCAAAGAGGATCCCAAAATATCGAAAGAATGGGAACTCCGAAGCCCGAGCTGGTTGATCGCGCGACTTCGTTCATTTTTGATGCCGTTTCCAAAGACGAGTTTTCACAAACTGAGATTGATAAAATTCTGTGTGAAATTTGTAAAGAGCCACCCGAACAAAATAATAGAAAAAAACGGACTGAAATATGCGAAGATGGTTCAACGCAAACATTGGAGTGGCAGGATGGATTAACGAGAAGTAAGACTATCATTAAAAAAGATACACACGATTCGGATACTCAAACAGAAAATCTGAAAAATATTATGTTTGACAAAAACTTGGGAACATCGCCAATTTTGAACCACGATATATCGATAAATGTCAATATGAAACAGCCGACAGATGTTAAGGTCACTCAAACTGAAACAGAATTACCAGAGCCAATTTTAGAAACGGAAAAACTGAAAAATATCATGTTCGACAAAAACTTGGGAACTTCGCCAATTTTGAACCACGATATATCGATAAATGTCAATATGAAACAGCCGACAGATGTTAAGGTCACTCAAACTGAAACAGAATTACCAGAGCCAATTTTAGAAACGGAAAAACTGAAAAATATTATGTTTGACAAAAACTTGGGAACTTCGCCAATTTTGAACGTTGATATATCGACAAATGTCAATATGAAACAACCGACAGATGTTAAAGAATCTCAAACTGAAACTGAATTATCAGAGCCAACCACTGAAACATTTTCACGGAAAAGTGGCAAGTTGAGAAACAATAGTATAGTTGAAAACGAAACTTCAGACTCCGTCAGTCGAGCAAAAGAAGCAAAATCTCCAATTCAAGAAAAAGACACGAGACGCCTAATGAATGACAAAAACTTGGGAACTTCGCCAATTTTGAACCACGATATATCGCTAAATGTCAATATGAAACAGCCGAAAGATGTTAAGGTCACTCAAACTGAAACAGAATTACCAGAGCCAACTTTAGAAACGGAAAAACTGAAAAATATTATGTTTGACAAAAACTTGGGAACTTCGCCCATTTTGAACCACGATATATCGATAAATGTCAATATGAAACAGCCGACAGATGTTAAGGTCACTCAAACTGAAACTGAATTACCAGAGCCAATCCTAGTAGCAAAAGCTGAAAATATAGCGCAAAATGTTCCACCACGCAGTGATGATAGTATCCGATGCATCAATGGAAGCGGGAGCCGACACTCATTTGAAAGTGATTGCAAGCACGAGGAAGAAAAGGAAAAATCCGAAATGATCGACTCTCTTAAAAACATTCCAAAAGAGATAATCAAACCGGAACTGAATGACTACCTGGATAACATTCCTGTGTACCAGCCTCCAAAGACTACAAAGCCGAAATATCCGATGAGCCGAAAACGTCCACAAGAGTATCCAATTAACAAAAAACCGGAATATATCCAATGCAAAGACTGCAGAGACAGAGAGCTAATTCACCCTGAGACATTCGAAAGTATTCGAGTCATGATGAGTCCCGAAGTCCTTGATGACATGCAACGCCTGGACCAGTTCCAGCGAGAGTGCCTCCTGACGCATAATATGTTTCGGGTTAAACACAGAGCACCACCCTTAAAATGGAACTCAAACTTGTCGAAACAAGCTCAAATTTGGGCAAATTATCTCGTGTCCAGCAACACAGTTCAACACAGTAACGAGCACGGATATTCGGAAAACGTATTGAAAAAACGACTTAAGCACTCGGAACAAGCGAGAGGGTTCGGAATTGTTGAACAATGGTACAAAAGAGGGGCAACCGAATACGATTACTCCGCAGGGATAAAGCAGAAGCTAAACAGAACGTTGCAGGCGTTCGTGAAAATGGTATGGTCGGATACAAGAGAATTGGGAGTTGGTTACGCATTCGATAACGAAGACCACATCATCGCCGTGAGTCTCTACAAACCAAAGATCAACGTGAAAAATATCTCGAACAATGTATTTCCAAAAATTTGACTAACTGTCTCCCAACTTACGTCAAAAAAGTTCTGAAGTTTAAATTGATACAACTACAAATTATGCATAGATTGATTTATAATATTTAAGCATCAAGACCAGGATATCTTGCGCATGAGTCTCCATTTTTTCATAAAGACCAAGTTTGTTTGCTGCGAATGGCAAGATTTCATCTCACCGCTTTGTTGCTATTTCTGGTTCAATAAATTTTTCATAATTGAAGTTTGCATAAATAGTTCAGCATTTTGGCAAAAGCTCCTTTAGCCGTGGAAGCTATTTGGCACTCTTTCAAACTGTTTGTGAAGTAGTTCGGTGTCTGGTGGTCCAAACCTCCCGTTTTATACTTCAGATAAGTGGGCTCAAAAATATCTATGAACCCGAACCCATTTTGTTTCGCAAATTGTCTTTGAACTTCACTCAAAGCGGCTAGAATAGCGTTATTCTGCATATCTTCTTTTATAGCTTGAGGTGTTGATGTAGTAGAAACAAGAGCAATATAACTAGCGCCAAACTTTTGAATCACAGGTTTTATCGAAGGTTCAAGATCTTTTTGGAATAATTCGAGAGCATACCTCGGACCTTCCTGTAGATTCCACATTCCTAGATCGATGAACACGAATTGTTTGTCCTCAGTTGAAACGGAAAGAAAATTTTTCAGCAAGTGCACTTCGACTGCTATTCCATTCTCGCCACAGAAGTCCCGTAAGCACTCGTATTTCAGACCTTGTTCCGGTTTTTCAACGAGCACTAAAAGTTTCTGTACTTTTTTCATCGCGCATGAGCAGAGTGATGTAGCATGTGAGCTATTGGTAGTGTCGAACTTCAAATTCTGATCAGGTGATTTGAATACAGTTTTATCCCACAGGCCTAAATACAAACAAGACTGCTCGTATCGGGGCGAAGCCCTGAATGTTCCGACTGCCTTTTAAGGTTTTATGCAGCAGTAATAACATTAAAAAATTAAATGTAATAAAATTTAAAAAAAAATTTTTTTTTAATTTGAAATTTTTTATGAAAATCATCCCCCCACACGCCATTTAAAGTACAAAAAGATAGATTTAGCTCCTTGTAACCAATCAATTATGGCAAATAAGCTTCTTTTAACCAATTTGGAACGATTTTAAGACGGATTAACTCTCCGCTTACGCGTTAATAGCGCGAAATATATCGCGCGTTAATTGTCCCAAATTGGCCAAAATGGCAATCTTTAAACCCCATAATTTTACGAAAAATGATCACAGGTGAAATATCTTTTCAAATTTGAGCTCAGGGCAACAATACCTTTTGAATGATTTAAAAAATTCCGTCAAAAATGGCTAGTTAAAAAGTCGAAATTTGTCTGAAGAAAAAAAAACCCACCCCGAGCACAAATATTCCGTTACTTTCCCATCGAAAGTCGGAACAATAACTTGAGTATTAAGAATCGTGTATGGAATTAAGAGACCAATTTGCCTGCCTCAATTGAATTTCGAACAATTTGGTGGTGCGGAATAATCCGCCACGCATAAAAAATGCGCGTTAAGCTTTCAGCATCAAACTATCACAGCGCTTTTTAAGTCACGTTAGTCTATTGGTTAGCGTTTCACAGCTATCTTGATGGCAGGAAAGGTTAGTGGTGAGCCCTCCCCTTCTGAGACCGCGAAGATCCATGGATCAATCCCCCGACCAAAATGTTTTTGAGAATTGGTCTGAATAAAAAAACACACCGAGCATATAAATTCCTTAATTTTTTAAGTCGGAACAAAAAAAGTGAAATAGGGAGAGAAAAGGTAAACATCAAAAAAATTTTTTAGAAACTTGTCTTGTGTCGGATCCGTAACCCGGACCTGAAGGAGCCTCAGTCCTCGCATCTGCGCCACGGTCATTTGGAATTAAACTAATACTAGCCAACAATAAATCAGCTAGAGATGCTACTAAATAGCCAACTATACAGCAAAATTGCCATCAAATAAAACTAAAACTATTGCTATCTGACGGAATCAAACCTCCGGCCTAAAAGTTAGGCGCCTGAGGTCCTCGCATCCATCTGCCGGACAGTTGCTTGAGTTTTTTTAATACGTACTTCAGGGAGCTTAAGAGGTGGCAGAGGAGCTACTTCATTCTATCGGTTGAACGTTTTAGTGGCTTCAGTCGGAAAAAATGCCACAGACCAACTACTAATACTTCCAAAATAAAGTTCAAAAAAAAACTCGAAACAGCACTTCAACATCAAGTGTTAACTGTCCATATAACCAGCAGTTAAACCATTAGTTACCATTGAAACCAGTAATAATTACATTCAAACTATGCAGAAACTGAACATGTAAGCAAAAATGATTCAGTGATTTAGTGAAATAAATTGTTAACCTAATAAAGCCAATGTTCCAATTTGATATCGCTTGCTATTTACAAGCATAACAAATGGATCCTTTCTTTGCCTTCATGAGATTAAGAGCTGAACGAAAAGAGAAAATGATCGTATATCAAAAACTTTACTTTCGTTTGACTAAAATTCTTTTTTTTTCTGAAAGAGTTCAGCTAAATTTTTTGGAACTCAATTACACCTACACCATTACAGGAATAAATCGAAGGATTTTTAACACAGAGAAAAAGCTTTGCTTCTCAAACACTAGCGAGAAAACGACAAAAAGCAGCTCCGAAAAATACAATAATAGAAAGTCGAAATAAGCCTCGAATTAGTGAAAATTCGGCTGCCATCTCGTATTCGAACCTTTTACCTACTGCGACCTAAAAATTATGAACCTCACACACTAACCACTGATCCAAATTACTACTAAACACTAGCCACAGATGAAGCAGAGAACAGATGCTATGCAATTTCCAATGTTATAGTGACACTTCCATAGAAGTGAACTCTTTTAATGAATGAACACTTTTATTTGCGAGTTAGGTTAGAAACAAAAGTAGAAAAATTTTTGTGTATAAAAGAACAAGTACTGTCCGGATTTGAGCCCTGGACCTTTGGTAATTGTTAACCTGAAAAAGCCATGCTCCGATTGAATAACGCTTGCTAATCGCAGGCGTAAATAGAGATTTTCGAACAACTTATTGAGTTGGAGCTATTTTAAAGACTTATCATTGAAAAAATCAAAACGTAACTAAAAAAAGGCAATGGAAATTAAAGTTAACAGAAATAAAAACCATACCCATCATAGGTTGGTGTGGAATGGCACAGTGGGAGTGTTTGTTGATCTCATCTATACACAATTCCTGGTCGAACCTCTTGAGGCCTATGAAGTGAGAGTAGTGTCTGTAGGCGTCGAAGTTGAGGTAGGTAAAGAGAATGCTGACCTGTGAGAACAAAATATAATAAAAATAGTTTCTTTTAAGAAGGAAATTTATGCAAAGAAAAACATTTTTTCAAAGAAAACAATTCATTCGACAATCGACATGAGAAAGTTTCCTTCTAACTTGCGTGACTCTAACTACTCACAACATTTTGGGCCTAGCTTAACGGCCTAGATTTATGTTTATCCCATTCTAACTCCTATTAACTCTATTGATGGCCTAATTTTTAACCAGCAGTCCCTGTTTTACAATTGTTCGCAAAATTATCATACAGTTTGTTTGAGCAAAACTTAATGGTTTACTAAACAATAAAAAATAAAAAAGTTAAATAATAACGAACCTTCATACAGGCGTACTTAGCGAAGGGGCAGATCCAACTATACTGGCCATTCAGGTGGTCGTAAACTGTGCATAATGTGGACCCAACCTTCTCTCCTTCAACCGCTACTGCAAGAAAAAAATTTGTTCTATTTACTCAACTTTAATCATTTATAATTCAAGATTTATTTACTTCAAGTTCTATTTTATCTTTGAAATTATTGAATAAAATGGGCACTTCAAATACTACGATATTTACGATATTATATATTAATCACAAGAAAAAAATTGATCGTATAAATTTATTAATTTTTTCAAAATTCTTTTTATAAATTCTCATCACTAATATTCTCCTCACCTTGGAAGGTGGATCCCCCTTTAGTTGGTTTGGGTTTGTCCGTGTGGTCTGGGTCTAGATGTTTGGACTCGTTGATAGTCCCTATCAAGTAGACAGTCTCTTTATCTCGACAGTCGAATGTGTGTCTGTTCTGGAACATGACGTGCACGTATCTGTCGTGTTCGAACAGCGGGAGCTCTCGTTGCGACTAAAACCAGCAGAACAAATAATCTTCACTCTACATACTATCGCTATATGAGCAGCCCTTGCCGAGTTATGCGCAGCCGTGCCCGAGTAGGTTAGGCACACGTCTCTCAACACGAGGTTCATGCGTTCGAATCCCACTTCGGTCACGGTTGGAGGGGTCCCACAGTCATCCGCCTCCTCAAAATGGGACCAGTTGCGACAACTGGATGACATCTCTTTCCCCCAAGGTTCGTCCTGCACTGAACAGGACTGAGGGCTAATAAAAGTTCGCTATTTGGTTCTCGGCGTACCTTATAATACGTAGTAACGGCCCATGAATAAGAAGAAAGAACACTGTCGAAAAATCAAAAAAGTCACTTGTTTTCCAAAACAATTCTTTTTGGTATTCTCAGCACCCATTGTTTTAAAAATGGTTCTTCTTTTTGAGGTTTCAGCTAACTTTTGATAAACTGATTAAGAAATCGTGATCAATTCTTACGTTAGATAAATTATTGGCTGATCAATGGCTGTGCTGGTACACTATATTTACAGAATATACGTGACTAGCCAAATTGTGCCTACCTTTCTGATGTTCAAATCAGGTTCCAGCAAAGCCAACTGTTTAAACTGAGCCAGGTTGGCTTCTCCAATCGTTGGAAAATTATAGAGAATTGCGTTGATCGGGTCCGAGAATCCCTTCCTTCGAGCACCGTACAAGGGTTTCAATTTAGGGTCCATTAAAGCGTCGATCTCTGCTTCAGTCAGTTTGGGTCCTACCACTTCATCCACTGTGAAAACACAGAATAAGATAAAAACTGTTCATACACAAGCATAAAGACTAACAGATGAGCTGTTCAGCCATTCACTGAACACCGTCCTTCTACTCTGCACTACTTCATTGTCGGATCCAACCGCAACACAAATCTACTTATTCATAGACCCCACCTGCCCCCCTTGAGTATTTACATCGACCCCTAAAAAACTTGGGAGGGGAGTGTGTCTTACCTGAAGGTACCTTACCAGGAAGGGATCTATACCACAAAATTTATACTCAAAGCCTAAGATTTTGATGTCGATTATAAGATCTCAAAAAGCGCGTTTGCACTAAATAACAAAAATTTCATGCCTATTTTAATGTTCAAGAAAGTATTTGGTTCCATTTTGGCATGAGAGTAATTAGAATTGATCCGAAGCTGCCGAACCCCCGTTGATAATTTTGAACCACCTCCCCCCTCCAGCAATGAAAAGTATCTTTTAGTCAAAATAATGTGCACACCCTCAAATATTTTATAAAAGTATTTTTTACAATTTTTTGGAAAACCTTTATTGCCAAGGAAGCGCTTAAATATTGAAAAACTAGATCTCCGTTTTCTATAACGAATGTTAATCGATCGCTTTACTCGCTCGAGTAACGTTCGAAAACTCAAAAATTTCAAAACGGCTTTTCGCGACACGGACAACTTTTTGAGCATTTTCTTCTAAGGTCGTTCGAATCACATATGAAAAAGTTTTTATATGTTATATCACATGACGCATTCCGATGATTATTTGTGGTAGCTTAGTTTAAGTGGAAAACAAAACGAAGAAGCAAGGATAGTTGGTTGCTGTGCAAGTACCGCAGAACTTTCAGGCCATATTCTTTAAAAATTTTTAAAAAAAAGCTTTTCGTTCAAACTTGCAACGAAAGACTAGATTGTAGACATTTTAATATTCACAATAAAATAGGCATATTGTAAAACAGTTTCGGTCGAAAAATGACTATTAAAAAAAGAAAAGAAAAATAAAAATTTGCAAAATTTTTTAAAAAACTTTTATTCCTACGATTGCGCTTAAAACCGTAGACAACTTGTTTGCCTAGATTTTTCAGAGCTTGAACAAAAATATCATGTCTTATTTAATAAAAATCTGCGATGACGACCTTCTTCCATAATAAGCCTACTCGCTCGCTTTACTCGCTCGAAAATAGACGAAAAATCAACAATTTCAAATCAGTTTTTCTCGATACTGGAAAAAAATTTTGGACAGGGCTTTGATATGATATATCGCTCATTCCAGTTCGATGATTATTTGTGGTACCTGATTTTGCGTCGAAAACAAAAAAAACACATTCGAATACAAAGTTTCTCCCCAAGTTCAATGGTCTGGACAATAAAACAATTCTGTTCTTTTCGTGTTCTGCACTGATCAATTGACCAAATCCAATTAGGAGCACCGAAAAAATCCAGTTATGTAGAACAACTTTTTAATATTACGTTTGGCATCCGTTTGACCCGACTTAAAATTTTTTCTTTACCTGTGAAAACTAGGGGCGCTTCGATCGCAGGTTGTAACTCCTCAAAGCCATCGAGCCAAACATCCTCCTCTTCGCTAGACTCCACCGGCTCCTCTCTAGTCCAACTTAAGTTTCCGATAAAGATAAACAGAAAAACGAAAACAACAAAAATCAAAGATGCGTAAACATTCAAATTTCGCTTTATAGTCATTTTTACTCGTCTTAGATTCATATTGTAAGCAAGTCGCTTATAAAACAATCGCAAAACAAAAGATATAGAAAAAACTTTTCGATGAAATCATTCGTTGGTATAGTAGTCGCTTCGCCTCTTGAATCAGGCAGAAGATACAAAACGATGAGTATTTACATCATTTAATTTGTAAGCAGATACCATACATATTTTAGACGAACAAAAAATTTTGGTTGGCCAGCAATGATTTGAACGTTTAGCTAGTCTTCACTTTCAGCCAAATCAGACTTGAATACAAACAACCAAATTTGCCGTTTAAAGCTACAAAACATGTTTAGTCGTATACTCATTGCTTAATGCCATTAAAATTTTCAGAACATTCAATCTGTGATGAGATACTGAGTTTTCATTTTATAATTTGCAAATGAGCTTTTACGCGATATTGATTTTTCATTGACTGAAGTGCGCATAAATGTCAACTTTCGATAAAGTATCAGCCGATCAAACGTCTATAAAATCGATAAAATCAAGTAAAATACCGACAGCAAAAACCAACCAAAAACCCCACAGTGCTAACAAATCGGTAGTTCCAAGGCCGAGGAAACTAGAAACTGCTGTCTGTCTTGAACCTGATCAGAAAACTTCACCACAGATTCACTCTGCTGCACCTCAAGTTGCCAAAAACAGCCAAACTGCTTCAAAAATTCACTCCAGTGAAAACTTACAGAACTCAAACAGTCACAGAAGAGCGTTTGACGATAATGCTATAAACCGAGAAGCATTATACGGAGATCTCAGTTTTGATCTCAACTCAAACCACGACGAAGATGATGATGAGGAGCTAACTGAAGACATTTCAGAAAGTTTTCACGTCGAAACAGACACCGACGTTTCATTCACGAATATTGCCAAACTATTCCGGGAACAATCTAAACAGAAGATGTACAAGTCGGCTGTTCACAGCCAGCAAATGTTCCCGAGACCTGTTATGTCGAAAGTCATCAATTCCGTAGCGCAACCAGTTTCCGATTTCTATTGCAACGTGACTCATCATCATAAGTTAGAAGACGAATTGACCGCTTTGCAGAGCAAACTGTACGATATTCAGTGCAATGAGGTAGGTGTTTCAAATTTCAAAACTGGCTTCAAAACATAGAAATTGCAAAAGCTGAATGTCAAGCGAATCACAATAATGAAGAGCATTCACATATGCAAAATTTCGTTCTTTTTAATTGAATGCTTGATCTTTCTAGCAATCCATGATGTTATATAGTAATCATCTGATAGAAAAATAACCTATTCACACTTCGTAACAAACAGTAAGAAACGTAAAGGATTTTCATAAACACAGAAATTTGTTGATAAAACCGATAATTGTTTCGCTTTTTAGAACCCTCTGGAGTTACTCGAACTAAGAAAACAACTAAAAGAAAAGGATTCGAAAATCAGTCAACTTGAATCCACAGTGTTAACTTTGTCTGGTGGATCGCGTTTGAATGAGGGAACTTCGATTGATGCTGCGTCAGAGAAAGTCTCGTTGGATTTGTTCAAAGCGAGAGTCCTCTCACTCACAGCAGCTCTCGGAAGATACACAACGTCAGAAAAGTAAGCCACGAAACTTTAACAAGTTGTGATCAGAAAATCACCACAGTCAAACATTTTCTTCGGTGTATTTAACAACAAATGGTACATGAGCAAAAAAATCAATTACCGATAACTAAAAATTGACTTATCACTCGTTCCATAAGACGCATACAAAGAACAACACTAAATTCTTCAGTTGGCTTTTTTTCCCGCAAAGCGCAGATCTTTTTTATTTAAAAAAAATATTGAATTCGAAAGGTGATTTGTTCATAGGGTGATTGAGAACTACCTGGAGGGCAAATGTGGTCTAGACCGAGTACAAGAATTGGTCTCGCGTGCTGAAAGTGTAAACCAGTTGTCAGCTGAGTCCAGTCATCTGGAACAGGAAATTGAGAAGAACCAGAGTCAGTTGGATCACTTGGAGGGGTTGATCGCTAAATGTGAAGACCAAGCGGTCCAGTTGGACAATCAAGTTAGCATTGTGTATTTGTTTCCTTTTCTTATCATTACCTTTGACAAATTAGATTCAGTTAACGAAACCTCAAAATAATACACAAAGGCGAAGCATAAAACAAATCTTGAACATTTAATTTTCAACAAAAACGACCTGATTTTTTTAACAAATAAATACTTTTCTGACTTTGAAGCATTACAAAATAAGGTGAGTGAGCCGATAAAAAATAAACCGAAACCATTTAAGCCGAATGAAGCTTTTAAGCGGAAAAAAGGAAAACCTAAGAAAACAAGGACAGCCGGAAAACAAGTTGCACAGAATGTTCCGACTATAATCTTAAAAAAATACATAAAACGATTGCTTTTTAATGTTTATTTTTCAAATTAAAGTGGTTTTTTCGCGAGTTGTGTGATAAATGGATCTGACGAAAACCAACATTTTGGCCATATTCGGCTGTCATAGGCAAATTGGCTAATCGGGCAACGGTTTTAGTCGAAAAAAGACTTTTTTTCAAATTTTTTTTGAAAAAAGTTTTGAAATTTTGAAGGTTTTATTCCGAATATGGTGCTAAAAAATTTCGAAACATAAATTTACTGGGTTTCAACTAAAGTTTCATGGTTTATTCTTCTAAAACAAGCTTGCTCGCTAGCTTAACTTGCTCGAATTTTGACTAAAACTCGAAAATTTCAACCCAGTTTTTCTCGATACTCGTACGACTTTTTGAAAACTTTGGCTTTGATATGATATATCACTCCACTCATTACGATGATTATTTGCGGTAAACACTTTGTGAAAAACAAAATAAACCTGCTCGCTCACGTCATTCGCTCGAAATTAGACAAAAACCAAAAATTTCAAACTGGTTTTTCTCGACACTGGGACAACTTTTTGAAAATTTTGTCTTGAATATGATATATCACTCCACCAACTATGGTGATTATTTGTGGTAAATACTTTTGGTCGGAAAACAAAATAGGCCTGCTCGCTCACCTCATTCTCTCAAAATAAGGCAAAAAATCAAAAAATTCAAACTGGTTTTTCTCGACACTGGGCAATTTTTATTTCGTTCGAACCACGATTGCAAGGGCTTTAATTTGATATTTCGCTCGACCTATTCCGATGACTGTTTGTGGTACCTGATTTTGCAAGGAAAACAAAAAAAAAGAAAAAAATAACACGCACCCGAATACAAAATTCCTCCCCATTTACAATGTTCGAGACAATAAACAACGAAAACGAATTGGTATTAGTTTCAAATATTACAGGAGTAATCCAAAAACATATGCAGACAAACGAAAGTTCGACAACTCAATTTTTCCCCGAAAAAAATTCAATGTCATGCATACGGAAACGAACAAGGTCCAACTCGAACGCCACACCTTAGGGTAAAAATGCATCCGCATTAACTCTAGGACATATGGGCAAAGGTCTCGAAGTTGCTAAGGTTCACGTATAAAGCATCTTCACAATTTCTTACAAGTGTGTGAAAAAAAATCGTTTACGGGAAAAATATAGTTCCTAATTACGAGACACTTGCTATCGCAAATCTACTTAAAGACATTCCCTTTAGCAAGTTCAAATTGTTAAGGCAAGTTTAGATCAGTTCCTCTTCCAAAATTTCAATTAGAGATCTCCTTCTCGGCCCATTTATTGCGAATTTCTGCAAGCAAAAAAACTGGAACCTGATTGGTTTATTATTGCACCAGTGGCGAATTACCCCCTTCAGAGATTTTGAAAATACCCATTCGAGGAAATCCTAGATCCGCCCCTGTATTTCACCCAGAAAAATCCTCTCCCTAATCCAGCTCGGGGAAGCTGCTACCTTGATCTGCTATGGTATAATTAGCAGCAATTTTTCCAAAATCTTGCATCAAGTTTTGTGGGCAGATTCGAGCTTATATACTTAAGTGAAACTAAATATGGTAGGCTTGCTCTATTTTTTTTAGATAAAAACAAAAATGTCGAGCCTAGAAGACAAAGAAGCAAAATGGCATCTTTTCCAAAAACAGGGTCGGGAATTCAGTTTCGAAATCGAAAAAGCAGCTTCCGATCTAGAAGAGACGAGCTCAACAGTTGATGTTCTGAAAAAAGAAAGCAAACTGTTGGCTGCAGAGAAAGCTCAAATTAAATCAGAATTATCCGAGTTGGAGACAAATCTGCAGATAAAACAGAGTGAATACGACAGCTTACAGAAATTATGCGGAGACGCCTGCACTCTGTAAGTTTCACCACATTTAATTATGCCAAATCACAAATGAAGCTAACTGAATATCGATGCCAGGTTTGCCACCTACACATTCCACGGCACCGAAATAACTTCAGCGTTAGCAATCGTTCAATATAAAAACCGTCCGCTTTCTGAAAGAAAAAAACAATCGGTTGTTGTGATAATTCTCAAAATTTTGCATTTGGCGTAGTGTTTCACCGTAACCCATAACGCCTGACAATCGAACAAAAAATTTAGCAGTAGAAATTCAACCACTTACAAGACAAACTCAGCATGGCAAAGTAGCAGACAGAAAATGAGACAGCAGCCTCAAAGTCAGAAAAAAATATATTTAAAAAAAATGTCGAAAAAAAATTATTTATTTCAATTTTCATGTGTTTGTCGTGAATGAAGTTCAATTTGAGGAAAACATGTCGAGAAACACAACTTCATTGAATTAGTTAGGATTCAGCAAAAATTTACCAAACATTAACTAAATCGACAATACTTGAGTAGACGTCCATTGAGCCGCAAAAAAAATGCTGTCGAAAATCGAGCTATAAAATATTGAATCTCAAAGCTTTTACGTCAACCCCCAAAAAATTATCAGTCATAAAAATCTACTTTCAACTTTAACGGGGCGTTTTATGAGGCGAATAAAGCAATATAATATAGGCCGAAACCATTTATGCCAAAATCATGCTAGGCGAAACAAAAATCATAACAAAAACGACATTGTACAAAATTGCTGGTAAAATCTTAAATTGCAGGAATAAATCGAAACAAGACTGCTCGTATTAGGGCGAAGCACTGAATGTTTCGACTGCTTTTTAAGGTCTATGGAGCAGTAATAACATGGAAAATTTAAAAAAAAATAAAAAAAAAAATTTCTAAAAAATTTGAGATTTTTTGTGAAAACATCCCCCACACGCCATATGAAGTACAAAGTGGTAGATTTTGCTCCTATTAACAAATCAGCTATGGCAAACAATCTTCTTTCAACCAATTTGGAACAATCTATAAGACGGATTAAATCTCGCTTGCGCGTTAATAGCGCGAAATATATCGCGCGTTAATTGTCCCAAATTGGCCAAAATGGCAAATTTTAAACCCTTATAACTTTACGAAAAATGATCACAGGTGAAGTATCTTTTCAAATTTAAGCTCAAGACAACAATAGCTTTCGAATGGTCTTAAAAAATTCCGTCAAAAAAGGCTAGTTAAAAAGTCGAAACTTGTCTGAAGAAAAAAAAACCCACCCCGAGCACAAATATTCCGTTACTTCCGTATCGAAAGTCGGACAATGACTTCCAATTATATTGGTAATTTCCAGCTGGTAAATTCTAAAATTACAGGAATTAAATCGAAATAACTTCCAATTATATTTTCGGAAAAATAAGCCGACCAAAAAACAGCAGAAAAACGATAGTCCGTACGTTACATTTTTTCCTCGTTACAGAAAAAATCTCCAGGCTGGAATCAAAACAACAACTTTTGTCGTTCCAACCATGCGCAAAACCTCTGCGCCAAACAAGTAAAATTAGTAGCTGGCACTTGATATGTTGATAATAATTCTGACGAATTCTGTGAACAAAGTTTCCAACGGGAAAAAATTCTAGAACCCAGTTGCAATACCCTTGCTAATTGAAAAGTTAATGAAATTCAATTTTAAATTCAATATAATATGTGAGCTTCGACTGGGTTATATGTCCCATCAGAACTCGCACAGCAATGAAAAAATCATTCTGAAGCCTGTCCAATTCTGAATCGAGAAAAAACTAGTAATCTGAATGGAGTAGATCACTATTGCTACATTACCTCTCAAATTCAGCGTGTGATGAGCCACGCGTGGAAGTCGTCAGCTGCTTTTATTTCAATGACCTCCCTCTTTTTCTGGCAAAAATTTTGTTTTGAAATGCTCATTTTTCAAATTTTGAACCACTTAAGCAAAAGGGAAAGATCTTTGCATTACCAAAAGTTTTGTCGCAAAAGCACCTCAATTAAAATATCTCAGCTAATTCTGGAAACGTTTTCAATTTATTTGAGCTTCTATTAACTGATAATTAAAGCTCTTTCTCCATTATCTCTCGCTGTAAAAATAATGCTTCTAGGTTGAAGAAAGCAAGGTCTGATGAAACAGAATTGCATGAGGGCTTAGAGGAATGCGAGGGTTTGCTGGAGCGAAAAGAAAATGAACTACAAGACTTAGAGGATCAGGTAAACAAAGCGATGCTATAAACGCTCTTAACTCTATGAAAAAATCATTAATATTAATAGTAAAAAAATATTGCAGTTAGTCAGTTGCATTTCCGATCATTTTTACCACAAAAACCTGAAAACTTAGATTTCAATTAATTAATTACACAGATGACCGATTATGAAACTAACATTATGACGCCCAATAGTTTTTTTTTCTAGATTGATCTATTGACATCCGAACACAATATTGCCAAATCTACTTTCTTGAAGCAAGCCAAGAATTTGGAACTGGTCACGCAGGAACTTGAATCTGTCAAAACCGAGCTCAAATCAGCAAAAAATAGTTTAGAAGCAGTGAATAAAGAGCGAGCCGAAAAATGTGACACCTTAGAATCCGATGTGAAGAGTTTAGAGAAACGCAAAGTAGAATGTGAACAATTTCTGAAGAGTGTGGATGAAAAATACCAGAAGTTGTGCTCACAAGCTGAACAACAGGCTGAAAAAATAAAGGCAACTTTTTTGAATTCTCAGTCAGCAAACCACTTGATATGTGGAGCATACTCAATTAAATGAGCTAAATTGAAAGTTCTGGTAGCTTTGGGACCAAAAAAATCTGCTGAAACTCATAAGTTTAGAATTCCTATAAATTTCCAAGATATAAACTGTTCATTTTGAAAGTGTTGAATGTACAAACTAAAACGTTTTTCTTTGGATGTAGAAATTGGCCAATGAAAGCGAGGGAGCGATAACCAGACGAAACTACCTGGTTGAGCTGATGCAGTTAGAGGAAACTCAACTAGATGGTCTCAAAACACAGCATGGAGAAAGAATTCAACAACTTCAATCGTTGCAAGCTGATCTCAATGAAGTAATGAACATTCAATAGACTATTTTTGTTACGTTTTCAATCGAGGATTTTGAACATAATTGCGGTGTAAAGCAACTGAAAAACACAATTCTTCAACTGAAAAATTCATGAATTTTTGTTTATCAAAATGCGACACATTTGGATAATCTTAAATAACTCATCCTTATTTTTATCATCACCGATTTGTTACAATTTCAGGAGCGCAATGAGCTAGAGAGGCTCAAGAAGGAGCGTCTAAGGGCAGATCAACAAATTGCTCTAGCAAAAAACAACGCACAGGCTTTCGAAAAGGAATCAACTGAAATTGAAACAGAGAGGGAGAGAGTCAAACTTTCTATGGCTGAGTTGGATAAAAGGAAAAGAGTTCTGGAGTCTGAGATTTCACAGCTGGAATCAACTGTCCACAGCATAAAACAGTAATTACATTCAACAAGCACAGAGTATTAAAAAACTTAAGCATTTGACATACTCTCGGAAGTCGATCCTACTTTCAGTATTCGACCAAGATAGAAAATGTACTCCCCGCAAGAAAACGGCCCCACCAGTCAAAAGTATTCCGATCCAATCCGTAATTTTTCCTCCGAAACTGGCAAAAAAATGACAAAATGGGTCTTTAATGTGACTGCTTGGGAAATCAATTTTTGAAATGCAGTCTTAAAATTTTAAACAAGCTTCCAACTTTCGATTTTGTCCATTCACGCGCCAAAACAATTTTAAAAGATCGTCAAAGCTGAGCTTCATACCACTTGCAATACCTTACAAACATAATTAGCAGACAGGAGACACAACTAAAGCAAGAGACCAAATCAAAAGCCAAGGAGACCTTCTCATTGTTGAATGTCCTTTTCAAGTCTATGAACGAACTTCATCACCTTGAAGACAATTGAATTTCCAGAATCTTTAATGTATGACACTTTTTTGATACAGTCCGAACAATTTGAGAAATATGGACCAGTAGATAAAATTTTGATCCGCTGCAAAAGCTCTAATTTTCCTACAAAAATGATATATACTTTTGAAACAAAAATCCATTCAAGTTTTTTTGTGCCATTTCAATTTTTCTGTTGAAGAGCGCAATTGCGCTTCCACATATCAAATGAATTTGAAACAATTTTTAGCAGGAAAAAAATTGCCACTGAATCTAAAACTTTTGCGATATTTTTTCTAGAAAAAACCAGACAATAACCCAAATAAGTATCCTCAGTTCGTTCACACCTACACATTGAGCCGACATAAAATGAGACGAAAACATTCACCTCTAAAAATACGGTTTCGAGAATTTCAGAAGACAAGTGCTATCGTTGAATCAATGTTTTCCCCCCTGCAATTTAAAAAAAATGGATTCAAATGTAAAATTGTACTCCACTGGTTAACTTGTAAGTTTGTACCAAATCAAAGAAAAAGATTTTAAAAAACTCGCGACCAAAATAAGTGCATTCACCTCGCTCATAGATGAGGGCTGAACTAAACGAAATCCTGGACGTTCTGTACTTCCAATTTGTAAACATTAGTGAACAGTTTTAGCCGAACATATTTTTGAAGACGTATAAGAAGTTTGTCAAAACTCTTCTTTTTATAATTGGAGCGTTTGCCTTTTAATTGGAACTCATGTTTCAGAAATATTGCTCATGCCGAATCGGAACTTGAAAAGATTAACGAACAAACTGAGTTACAGTTGTCAACTAAGCGGGAAATCGAAGCCCATATTAATGACTTGGGTAAGGAAAGGATTCCACTGCAACACAGCATCAAAACCCTTCAATCGGAATATTCAAGTAAGAAACCATGATTCAGTTATGATTTCAGGCAAATTACTCTTTTATCTTTCATATTTTTCACTTAAATATTTGATTTTTCAGAATACTGCGAAGCTGCAAAATCACTAGCTGGGGAAATTGACAACAGATCTAACAAAATCAAACAATTGAACGAAGTGAGTGTTCTGCTTGAGTAAAATGGAAAGTACAATAGTATTATATGTTTCGGCCACTAATTTGCCTGTTTACTCTGACAAAAATAGTAACTTTCGCAACTAACAAAAAATCTCAATCAAAAACTGAAGAAAAGCCAATTTTGAAGCGAAATAATGGTATTTCTGAAGTAATTCTCTGACACCACTTAAAATGCCTCCCGAATCTCGGTTATGTTCTAGTTTTTTCCTCGCTTTAGGTTATCTCAGAACTGAGCCAACAGATTCTCAGGGAAGAAAAACTCTTGAAAGACAAGCAAGGCGAATCTGAAGAACTGAGAAGACGCCAAGACTCGTTCGAGGAACTGAAACGCAAACTCGATGCTGAGAAAGCAATTAGGCAGGGTAAGACCATGCGACCACACATTCGTAAATCTAGGATTATTACTTGCAATCAATCTAGTCAGCTTTGACATCAACAGAATATTTTATGTCAATTTAACCACTTATTTAAGGTGGCTCTCTTTAACTACTCTTCCCTCTTGGGTACACACGTTTTCAACCCTATAAAAGACTAAATCAATGGTTAAGCATATGTGAATAATACAGCTAGTAACGAATGTTTTCTCTCCTGGCTAAGGAAGGGGGTAGTTACAGAGATCTTAATACGCTAATGTTTTGGCCTAATGATAATGTTTTGGCCTAACATTTCCTATCGTGGGAACTTATACTTAAATGATTTCTAATTTCAAAAATTACTACTTTGTTTGGCTTGGAAATAATTTCATTATTTACTATTATTAATATTATTATGATTATTATTTTTGTTCCGACTTTCGAAAACGGAATAATTATGCTTGGGGTGGTTTTTTTATTCAGTCAATCTTCGGCGATCGAAATTATAGTTTTTGACAAAAAGATTTTACGCCCCATTGAAGATATCGACTTCCTAAAATCAAAATTAAAAAGATCAAATTTAAACATAGCCAACTAACAGTTGGAAAAAAGTAATGAACGCAAAGAAAATGAAAAAAAAAAACCAACTTGTTTTTTCAAGAGCCTTCAACTTTTGAATTTCGAAGAAAAAAACAGATGGCCTTAAAGCTCTTTGACTTTGAAGAATAATTTATGATGGACACTTTTTTGTTAAAATTAACCCAATTTGAGAAAACTGGATCAATACGTATAACTTTTATTTCGCTGGGAAATCTGATAATTAATTTCCATTTTCGAAATTAGAAGTCGATCACGCTTTTCGTGACCTTTACACTTTTGCTGTTCGATGGTGGAAATTGCCTTCCTTTTAACAATGAAAATGCACTGAACTTAACAAAAATCAAAGTCAAACCGCGAAAAATCAAAATTGGCCATGAACAAATGAACTTTTACCTGAAAAAAAAAACAAAAAAAGCAAGACCTATATAAGAGTACTCACTACCTTCATCACTCTTAAAAAGATGAGGTTAGCTAATCGGTCGTATTAATTTCGTACGACTCAAACTTTCACACTTGATCTCTAATTTTGTACAAAATTTATAGTTTTTCAATATACGAGCAGTCTTGTTATGATTACTAATATGATTATTATGATTATCATCACACAAGCGAAGCAAAGCTCCGCAGTACTTGCAATACCACATAAAAAGGATTGCAAGCTAGCAGAAAATTAAAGGAGAAACACTGAGTCCAAAAAAAAATCGAAAAAAACAGCAAAATTAGAATCAAAATTACGTACAGCAAAAATAACATTAGAAAGATGTGACAATTACGCCGACGAAACAAAAACTAAGCGACGAAACAAAAAAGCCAAATAATAGGACAAAATTCTTCAGAAATAGAAAATTTCCCGTTAAAAAAATAGGTCCTGGTCAGATTCGAATTTCCAGACGTATTCGTTACCTCCAGACTAAGTGTACCGGAGACGCTAACAAACTTAAATTCATTATAAACTAATTACCAAGTGATTCTGTTAAACATACTGTTGAAAATTTCTTGAATAAAAATATTTTAGACCTCGAAAACAAACTGAATGAGGTTGAAAATCGACTGGCCAAAGTTCTAGAAGAAACTGAGTCTACAAAAAAATCTGAAGAGAAACTATTCAACAGGAATAGCCAACTGAAACACACTGTTTCATCTCTTAGAAGCGAGCTTAGTGCGGCTTTATCGTCGAAAAGGAATCTTGAGGAGGTAAGTTCTTTTTTACAATATTCGCGAGTGTAAGCTAGTATTCAAGCCACGGACATGCAGATTACGAATCATATGCCTTCCGAGCGGACTCATCTATTTTGCTTTGCTGTTCTACGTAATTCACTTGTCCTGTAATAGTAAATAACGGGCCCTAGGAAATTAGACAAAAAATTGGACGACCTTAAAGAAACGGAATTTACGGACAACCAGTATTTACTCAGCCAAAAGTTAATTTAAGTCAGGAAAGAAATTTCACGCAATTTGACGCAAGTTATTGTCTAAATTCCGTTATTTTTGGATCGTCTAATGCACTTCGATAAAAATGATAAAGACAGGCTACTAAAACGCTCGCCGAATACATTGAGCGCTATACAGATATACTTTAACTCAAATGTTGATCACAAACGAGCACTTTAGCTAAGAAGAAACATGAATTCAAATTAAAACACAAGCATTTGCTTAAGTAAAAAACTTGAACATGTAAACAAATCCTTTATTTTTTGAAGGTATTATGCTTTGCATCGAAAGATATTGGCTCCATTGGTAAATTTAGGGTAAAAATTGAGCACATGCGACAAAAGTTAAACTAGATTTCAATCAATACAATAATAGCAGGTTGCTGGGCAAATACCCAATTTCATATTTTTTTAGGTTGACCAAATTGATTTTATGAGCTCTCCCAAACCACTAAAATACCGTTTTGGTCTAATTTCTGCGCCTTTAGAAAAAATTTAGGGTCCGTCACCAGAAATGGATATCTCAAATCAGTACAAAGGGGACCCTTTGGGTCGGCAAGAGGTCGAATCTCTGAGGAGGGGGGGGGGGGGGGTCCGCATTTGTGACCATTTGAAAATAGTCATTTTGGCAGTACTGCTGGACTAGTTTATAAACATTTTTAAGGCGGGAATAATATCGCGATGAATTACTTGCCATCAGATCAATCTTGTTTGTAAGCAGTTCTTAAGTGTATTCTATATTGTAGGCGTTCAACAGTGCCGAAGTACAACAGTGCCGAAAAAGGCGGGAAAATTTTCAGAATAACTTAAACGCATTTTCTAAAGAGCGAGAAATTACTGACGCTAATTATCAAAGAAAATCACTCCAAATTTGGCGCTAAAATGTCTGCAACTGCAAATTAAATAATTATTTAGGCGCTAAAATGTTTAAATTGCAAATTTTCTCTCCCAAAATCTTTAAGTGCCACTAAAGATAGTAAGCGATCGCCGTTTAATTTTTGTTTGCCGCACTTAATATGTTGAAATTTGTTCATATTTTCGGCACTGTTGAACAAAGTTTTCATTTTCGGCACTGTTGAACTAAGTTTTACTTTTCGGCACTGTTGTACTTCGGCACTGTTGTACTGCCCCTCTATATTTATCGATTATTTAGTACTTCAATCAAAATTATATTCTAAAGAAGCCTTTTAGGAAAGCAGTTTTCATAGTAAATGGACGAAGTAATTTATCATTTATTCAGTACGAGCGTTATTGATTTTTTCAGAAACGAAACTAAGTTCGTTCAATCTCAATTTTTTTTCTGACGTTTTGTTTTCCATTAATTGTTCGGACTTTCGATACGAAAGTAACGGAATATTTGTGCTCGGGGTGGGTTTTTTTTTCTTCAGACAAATTTAGACTTTTTAACTAGCCATTTTTGACAGAATTTTTTTATATCATTCAAAAGGTATTGTTGTCTTGAGCTTAAATTTGAAAAGATATTTCACATGTAACCATTTTTCGTAAAGTTATGAGGGTTTAAAGATTCTCATTTTGGCCATTTTGACCAATTTGGGACAATTAACGCGCGATATAATTCGCGCTATTAACGCGTAAGCGGAGGTTTAATCCGTCTTATAAATCGTTCCAAATTGGTTGAACGAAGCTTAATTGTCATAATTGATTTGTTACAAGGAACGAAATCTATCTTTTTGTACTTTTTATGGCGTGTGGGAGATGATTTTTATAGAAAATTTCAAATTAAATTTTATTTTATTTCATTTAATTGTTCCGACTTTCGATACGTAAGTAACGGAATATTTTTTTGATGTTATTACTGCTGCTCCATAAACCTTAAAAGGCAGTCGGAACATTCAGGGCTTCGCCCTGATACGAGCAGTCTTGTTTGTTTTAAGTTCAGTTCAATTCGTTTGCTCAATGGAAAATGACGCTTTCGACACAAAACCAATATGCGCTTCGCAACAAAATTGGAGCTTTTAAAAGCATGAAAATGCAAAAGTATTTATGCTTTAAAAATGCACCTACGGGATTTGAACCCATATTCAGAGCTTAAGTCTAACATCCGGACAACTTCGCCATAGCACCTACATTGCGTCCAAACACCAGCCAACAATTAAGCGGATAAAACAAAAATTATTAAGCTGCTAAAGAATTAGAGCAGAAGTGACATACGGAAAATGAGCACCAATTTTTCCAGTTCTGTTGGAAAAAATGAACTCAAAATTTAATAAACGTTTGCTTGTCTGCATGTAAAGTGCGAACAGAAAAAGAAGTTTGACTAACCAAATATTAAATATGCAAACTGCAATGAAATTGGAGCTTGACAATTAGTTTCTTTCAGATTTATTTTTTGACTTTTATTCTCAGATTTCCCCGCAAAGCTTAAAAATTTAGTTTCTTTCAGATTTATTTTTTGACTTTTATTGTCAGATTTCCCCGCAAAGCTTAAAGATTTCCCCGCAAAGCCCCATTAATTCAGCTGAGATCCATTTTTCAAGTAAACTTGAAAAAAAAAGATTTTTTTTTGTTTCTTTTAGCTTTTCAATAAATTTGCCATTGTCTGTTGGCTATGTTTTTTTGTTCCACTCTAAGACACTGTTCTTACTCATTGATTTGTTTCCAGGCTTGCATTTCTGAAATTTATTTTATTTCATGTCATGATAAATTGATTATAGTTTGAAAGTTTGAGCACATTTCATTTACTGTGTGCAATTCGTATTTTTACTGGCATTTAATGATCAATTTTCAGTAATTCGGGATAACTAAGTCCATGTCCGGTTGTTGTTATAGCCAAAAACCCGAATCTTGTAACTTGAAAAATTGAGTTCTTCAAAGAAGTTTTCAGTTGTACATGTTGAACCGCAACGAGAATTTAACCTTCCTTGGAGCTCAATCAACGTTTTGTTTTTTTGTCAATCTGTTTCCGTGATGTATGTTTTTCAGGATGTCATTTTTGGACTCGATTGAGAAGCTTACTTACTAGAAGTGTACATCAAATTTAGAATTTTTAAAATTTTTTGTTTGAAGCAATTTATTTTCAGAAGTATATGATATTTAGTTGTTCGCAGTTGTTACCATTTTACAAAAAAAAAAACATTATTTAAGACAAGAAAGGTTTTCCTTTTGCCTTCGCGAGTTTTTTTATGCACTCCTATAGTTCGCTGTCAGGTTTGAAGTCTTCATTAAGAGTCTGGATTTTCAATTTTGCTTGTCAGCGAGGATTATTGTAATTTTTCAAAAAAGATTGAGGTCCGAATATTCCATGCTACATGCAGAGCAACCGGCTACTGTTATTGTTACGACCACCAACGATGAGAAAGAACTTTAGATAGAGCGGAATTTTTTCATGCAAAATCAGGTACCATAAGCGACCTTCAGATAGAATCGTGTGATACATTAAATTCAACTTCATCAAGTCCCGATTCGAGCTGCAACGAAAGGTTTCAAACAAATTCTCTTAGTATCGAGGAAAAAGAAGTCGCAATATTTGTTAAGAGAAATTCAGTCACTAAGATTGAAGTTGTCATTCTAAAAAAAACAGTTTTTATGAAAGCTATTAGTTATCTTATTGGGAATTTATATTGATTGTCTAATCAGCCCCCCTTTCCAAATCTCTCGGAAAAAGAAAAATTCATGAAACCAAAAATATTCATAAACTTTGTTTATGAATATTTTTGATTTCATGATCTTTTCTTTTTCCGAATTTTTCTTTTTTAAACTGTGGCAAATTACCGAGCTCAGAACCTTGTACGGTAATCAAAAACTGTGGTAAATCGAAGAATCAAAAATCTTGTATGGTTCACATTTCTGACAAAGAGGAGAAGGAAAACGATACATCAAAAACAAAGCACAGCGAGCTAGCCACCAAAAATGGAGCCGCAATTTAAGATCAAACTCACTTTCAATTAACTAGGGGTCCCCCACTGCAGCTGATGCTTCTTCCAAAAAATGCAAAAAATGAGAATTTATTTTCACAAAGAAACGAAGCTTCGCAACGCATACAATTGCGAGAACACGACAAAAAGCAGCTCTATAACGTGCAATAAGAAAAACTAGACATAAGTCTCGAATTAGTAAAAATTCGGCTACGTTTCGGATTCGATCTGCGACCTTGAGATTATGAGTCTCACTCGCTGACCATTTAGCTATGAACGCTAAACAAATCACAAATTCTAGCCACAAATAAAGCAGAGAACAGATGCAATGAAATTTCCAATGCTACAGATCGTGATAATGGTGAAAGTGCCACCAAATAAGTGAACACTTTTATCGAATTTTTAATTGCGATTCAGGTTGGAAAAAAAAGAAGTTGCGTACTAATACACTACACTTGCAAAAAAAACGAAAACAGAATAGCCAGTTGATGTGCAAAAAGAACAGACTGTTCCGACCATCTTTATAGTATCAGCATATTCAGAAAATCAGTTCAAACAGGAGGCAACAAAACATATGGGTTCAAAATCAATGAACGTTTTTCGCTGAACGGAATTTCTGTTCAAAAACAAATTAATGATTTTTTAGGTGTAAGAAAAAAGTTTTCGATCAACCACTGGTGCGAATCTTTGTGCGCATATAGCAAACAAAAATTAGAAATTTCGCAAATTAAGGTTTCATTGTTACTGCATGAATTCCCTATTCTAAACAGTGGCGACCTAGCAAGTTTGAGTCTCACGCACTAATCTTAAAATCCTCAAAAACTAGCCAACAATGACGCAGCTACATATGCTAATAAATTGATATTCGTTGCAGCAAAATTATCTCCAAATACAAAAAGACACAATTGCATGTAATAAATTGGAGAGCATTAAGCCAAATTATGTATGAACTATGCATTTCGAAAAAATTACGAGATGCATGAAAAATTTCTGAAATCGAGCTTTTTATCATTGTACTGCTATTTGAAACAAATAACTTATTCGGTTTAATTGATGAAATAAAAATGCATCAGCTGTGTTATTTTTTTAATTATACCGCAGCCTACAAATTCAAAAGTGCCACCAAAAGTAGCACTTATATTTGCGACTTAGGTTGGAAAAAAAAGAAAATTCGTACTAACACACTTTCCTTCGCAAGTGTAATTATCGAAAGAAAGTTACGTGTTTCAACAACATGAAGGCATGTGAATCTACTATTAGCATCTCAAACTTTTTCGAACGAAATTTATGAAGAGGAAACAAAGCCGACAATCTTTGAGCAGATACAATTTGCGTAAAAAGAAATCTTTCAATTCCACACCTGAGAATACAATGAACAACATTTGCACTTTCAACATCAATAAAAGTTGCTAAAAGCAAGCAAAAAACCCGTGATGTGGCACCTTAGCCGACAATCGTTGAGCAGACACCATTTGAGGCTTAAAAAATTGGTTTTATAAAAGTTTCAAGTCCTCCCTGAAACTACCCTGTAGTAACTAGTGCCCACCCGGTACTTAAAATTGAATTTTAATTAAATTGAGCATATCAGCTGCATAACAGCATCATAAGTCAATAGACTGATTTTGTTAAACTAGTTGTTGACCAGAAAAAAGTCAGATTCCGATTTGATAATACTTGCTAATCGCAAACGTAATTATATTCAATGCGATCCCAAGAAACAGCAAAAAATAACGTTTTTATTCCAACACAGTAGAAAACGAAGAAATGAGTTATTCCAACTATCAACTCAAATCTTCTGCAGACGAACTTTGACTGCGGAAAAACCAGTGTCTAGGGAATCATTTGATTCACGAGTACTATAATTCTCATTCCGAATGTACTAGCAGCGGAGCAAGCATTAGTTACTTTCCAATGTCTTGTTACGTATGGTCGCGAGTTAAAAATTGTCACTTACTAAAAATTGCCGCGTGTTACGAATTAACTCTTGCTAAAAATTGCCGTGTTACAACTGTCTCCTGCTAAAAATTGCTGCTAAACTTATTTCTCAGCACTTTATTTCCATTTTCTATAAGCCTACGTGTCAGCAGCGCTGGCATAGAATCAATCTAAACTCGACCGGAGCAGGATATTCCGACTTTATGCAGGGAAATTTTATGCTGGGAGTTGCATCTATAGACCCATTTGAGCAGTCGAAATATTAACTTTTGAATTACAACACAAGTGAAGCTGCAAAGTGATATTTTCAAATTAAAACATAGACGCAAAGCTGCACTTAACTAACACAAGCAACTACAGCAGCAAAAAGTTCAAAAAATTCAATGAGACTGCAAAAAATGCCTTGAAAGAATTAAGTCTGCAAAAAACAATCAAACATCATGCTCATGCGGTTACTACAAGATGCGGATCACGAGTCTAAACATAACTTTACGTTTTAGATAAGAAACCTGGCAGAATATAAAATGTAAGCAACATTGGATGCGCTTTTGTTGAGCAGTTACAGATCCGAATATTTTGAAACATAGCCAACTGACAGTTGGAAAAGAGTCAATGAACGCAAGCAAACAAAAATATACTCCCTTGAATACGAATTTGAAGAAAAGATGGCCTTAAAGCTCTCTCAATTTCTACTATCATTTATAATTGAAAATTATTATGTTTAAAATAATAACTTGACTCCAATTTCCGCGATACTTGTAAAGGTGTTTTTGGAGATCCTGTATTGGCCCCACTTTGCTTATAGAAATAGACTGCAATTTTGAAAAGAACTCGAAAGTCAACCCACTAAATTCAAAATTTGAGCTTCAAAAAAATTCAAAGTTCTCTTTAAAAAAACGGGAGCTAAATGAGTGAACCATCAAGTTTTTATGTTCAGTTATTCGAGGAACATTTTTAAACGGCTGCATGGGTTATTGAGAGGAAAATTCTCGCACAAAATTTTTCCCAGTCGCAAAGTGTCCAAATTAAATTTTAGAAACAAGACCGTATTTTCGATAGTATTTCAGGCTCTCGTTGGCTATATTTGTTACTTCGATCTTATATACACAATTTTTTCAACACTTGCATCATGAGACACCTGAAAACGGGCCTTGTTAGCTTAATGGTGTTCTCCCAAACGATTCTAATTTGTATTTATAAATTTTTATAAATAACTTTGTAACTAGATATCGTTTGGAAACAATTTATTATTATTGTTATTATCATAACACAAACATAGCATCATAAGATAGCCTATCGCAAATGAGACGAAAAAATTAAATAAGCAGAAAATTTTGTCTAAGCTTAACCAAGACGTGAATAATTACAAATTAGGTGATAGACAGGTTGTTTACTGAAAAATGGCATATGTTCCGACTCAATTGCACTTGCTATCGAGTGTTCTCTCAAGCGTGAAGTTGAAAATCTTTTTCACTTTCAGGATGTTGAGACAGCAACAAACGAGAAGTTGGAGCTCAAAATGCAAATCGCCGAGTTGGAGCATAAAATGGAAAACAAAGAATTCACATTACCTTCTACGTTCTCAAATGATCAAATACAGGTCAGACATTATGATTAAAATTATGAAGCCTAAGGCATGCTTTCCGATCTAAAGCATAGAAGACACTTGAAGCAACATTTACTGATTTCAACTGGTAGGTAGAAACGGATTAAAGGAGGGGTGTAGTCCCTTCTCATAAATGCAACGCCCTGAATGTTGAAAAACCGCATTTTGAAACTATTATGAGATCAACCTGCAATTTCTCTCTAAGGGCCATAATAAAATTCCGATCAAAACTTTTTGAAAAGAGGCATTTCAACCTATTTTCTCAAAAATTTGCCTCCGGTACAGAAATTTGCGTCAAAAATACTTTATGCTGTAAAGAGCTCGCAAATTAACTTTGTTTGCCTTAAAACTACCATCCCCAACGCGATAATTCTAGATACTCTAGTGCTGGTATGGCAACAAAACTTTTTGGCCCATGTATTTCTCCTTAACTTTGCGGATTTAATTTATCCTGAGAAAAAAATTTGACATCTAAAATTTTTTAATTAAGGAGTTGGGTATTATTGAGCAATTAGTTTCAATTAATTTTCACAAGCTTAAGTTTGAGTTCTTCCATGCTTCTGTCTCCAAAGCAATTCCTCTAAATAACTATTTAACACCGAATTATGAACACCGACATTCAATCAAGTTTTAAAATTTCTTTTGGCTTGTTTCCAAATAGATTCAAGGGAATTTCTATGGGCACCAGTTGAGCAATCTACGAAATAGGTAGACTGATTCACAGCTTTATGGTGGTAGCTTGGAATAACTGCTATAGCATCGATTCCGCTATATTTTCGCCAGCACTGGAATGCATAATTGATCCTCGTAAAATTAACTGTTCTATTATTGAACTAATTGTTTCCTGGGTTCTATCTTCAATAAAAACTAGAAAACACTTGTCAGTCGATGTATCTATATCTCCAAACACTTCTTTCTGGAACTATTCGTTACTTTTTCGTTTCACCATTAGAGTTTCATCAATACGGACTCTCGTCCCCTCAACGCCAACTTTTGGCGGGTTTTCGTTTATTTTCACAAGCAATTTCGAAAATAACTGTACCATTGCATCGAAGTTTGCTCGTTATGTGGACTAGCTCTTCCATTGAAGTCACGGGTATTTCTTGAGACCAAAAATACGCCAGCAGAATGAAATCTTGCAAAAGGATAGCAAACTTTGTCAGAATTGCCATTTTCTGGCCTTTATGGCTGGGGCATCGCCATATTTTTTCATACTGACTTCTGACTTCAGTCACTTCTGATTATCTGTTTTCATGAAGAAAACTTACAGAGGTTTCTTTTGGATGTGCATGATCCATTTTAGATTAGTTTAAGCTAACTCAAGTAACAATTGCAACAGATCCTCCTTCCACTCGCATGATCACTCTAAAAATAGTTTTACCTAACTGAGAAAACCCAATTGTATGCAATTTGGTTTTGTCTACGAAAAATGACTAGCAAAACAAAAAATGTGTTATTATTATTATTATTATTAACATCTTTTGCCGTAACTTTGGCTAAAAGAGTACGAATCAGCCCTGCATCATTACGCCTAGTGGAAAAAGATCTTCGAATCAGCCCTACTTGCCCTTCATCATTTCACCCAGTCTAAAATCCCTTGGAATTTCTTAAATTTGGGAATTAGAAGGAAAATAAAATGTGAAGGAATGAAATCGGATTATACATTGTGCAAAATCCTTTCTTGCCTTACTGCTTCAGCAATGTCGACGTTTTAGTTGATTTATGGTATGATTGGCTACATAATATATTGGAAAAATATATACCCAAAAAGACAAAACACCGAATGAGTTTACCTCCTTGGGTCAGCAATGAAACATCAAATGCAATAAAAAGGCGGAATACAATGAGAAAATGGATGAATAAAAAACCGTCACCGAATAACTACCTAAAGCTGGCAACACTTGAATCAAGAGAAAGTGAATTTTTAAACGAAGATCAAAAAAAAATTGAACACTTAGTTTTCGAAAATGGAACTTTTTCACAAATACAAAAGTATTTTAAGAGCATTCAAAAATCATCTCAACTTCCCTCAGAAATGTACTTAAATGATCAGATCGCTGTCACCGACAAAGAAAAAGCCCAACTCTTTAATGAGTTCTTTCAATCAGTCTTTACTATCTCGGATTATCAAAGAACCTCCGATAACTCCAAACCTTCAAAAGTAGATAAACTCCACTTTACAAGAGAGGAAGTGCAAACTACACTTGAGAACTTGTGTATTGGGAAAGCAAAAGGTCCTGACGGTTTAGGAAATCTACCTCTTAAAAGTTTAGCTAAATACTTGGCTCCTTCACTGACACTCGTCTTCAACATAATTGTTAATAAACATGTCTACCCTTCCTTATGGAAATTGAGTATCCTTATACCAATATTTAAAGACGGAGACAAACAAGACATTTCAAATTATCGTCTCATTGCGCTCTTGGCGTGCCTCTCAAAAGTTCTTGAAACATAAATTTTCGAAAAACTATACGTAGCCATTGGACTTAATATCTGCAAAGAACAACATGGATTCACCAAATGTAAATCCACAACGACTCAAATGATCTTATATCTCAGTGAAGTATTGACAATTTTTATTATTAAAACTTACCCAATTTGGATGACTGGATCAATAGTTGAAGTAGTTTTTTTCCCCTTCGAATCTATTTGAAGTATTTGACCACTTCGAATCGCCAACACTGACTGCTCTATACCTCGACTTCGAAAAGGCGTTCGACAAGGTCAGTCATGAAAAATTAATAGAAAGATTGCAAAACAATGGCATCACTGGAGGAGCTTTGGAGCTGCTTGAAAGCTACCTGAAGGGTCGAAAACACCGAGCAAACGTTGGAAACTCGATCTCTTCAGAACTCGAAGTCAAAAGTGGAGTTCCACAAGGCTCAGTACTGGGTCCTCTGTTCTTCATAATCTTTATAAATGATCTCCCAGAGTGTATCATGTCATTTTAAAGTTATTGCTACCAACACGGTCACTCTACAAATTGACGCGACCAGAATATGGAAATGGTGTAACCAGAATTTGATGACATTAAACATCAGCAAATGTAAAACGCTAAACTTTAAAGGAAACGGAAGAATTTCAATGAATGGAAAGACACTTGAACAAACACAGAAGGAAAAAGATCTTGGAATAAATGTATCGAACGACTTGACATGGACTGCAAACACCGAAAGAAGATGTGAGAAAGCAATCAAAGTATTTTTACCTATAAAACGAAACATCGCTAATGGTACAAGTTGGATTGGAAAAAGAATCTTTACCGGAGCTACATTGTCCCAATCATTTCATACGGTGCAATTCTTTGGAAACCAAATAAATCAGAATTGAGAATGATAGAAAACCATCAGGAAAAAGCTTCGAAGTGGATCCTTGGTACCAATAGATTAGACTATAAAGATAGATTAAAACGAATTTCGATTCTACCACTATCCTTGTATCACGAAATGCACGTTCTTTTGACATTTGTCGACATAGTGAAAGGCAGGTATAATATTGAGTGGGAATCTTTTGTTCAAGTACAATACAAATCAGAACAAAACACGAGAGCACAGGAATTGAAGTTCTATAAAACACGAATTCTGTTGAAGAAGAAACAAGAAAGTGACTTTTGGACAAGAGGTACATTCTTAGCAAACACAGTTGCACAAAAGATAGGGATTAATCTTGACGAATTGGAAAATCCAAAAAATAAAATCGCGGAAGTTTACAAAAACTATTTTGTCAATAAATATAATCTCGAAGATATATGCTCCTTGAGACTGACATGTAATTGTCAGAACTGCAGAAATCAACACAAACTCAAATGAACTTTGGAAAACTGGAACTCGGGAATATCGCCCCTGGGTGCTACCCTAAATTCTGTTTTATTATTATTTTTATTATTATTATTATTATTTAAGTCTCCAGATTCATTAGATAAATATATGGGTCATTAGGACCGATATATCCAGCCGGGGACAAAATTAACAAGACTGCTCGTATCAGGGCGAAACCCTGAATGTTTCGACTGCCTTTTAAGGTCTATGAAGCAGAATTATGATGAAAAAATTAAATGTAAAAAAAATGAAAAAAAAAAAATTAAAAAAATTTGAGATTTTTTGTGAAAATCATCACCCCACACGCCATATAAAATACAAAATGATAAATGTAGCTTCTAGTAACAAATCAATTATGGCAAATAGGCATCTTTCAAACAATTTGGAACGATTTCTAAGACGGATTAAAACTACGCTTACGCGTTAATAGCGCGAAATATATCGCGCGTTAATTGTCCCAAATTGGCCAAAATGCCAATCTTTAAACACCCATAACTTTACGAAAATTGATCACAGGTGAAATATCTTCTCAAATTTAAGCTCAGGACAACAATACTTTTTGAATGATATAAAAAAATTCCGTCAAAAATGGCTAGTTAAGAAGTCGAAATTTGTCTGAAGAAAAAAAAACCCCACCCCGAGCACAAATATTCCGTTACTTTCGTATCAAAAGGTATTGTTATCCTGAGCTTAAAATTGAAAAGATATTTCACCTGTGATCATTTTTCGTAAAGTTGTGAGGGTTTAAAGATTGCCATTTTGGCCATTTTGGGACAATTAACGCGCGATATAATTCGCGCTATTAACACGTAAGCGGAGATTTAATCCGTCTTATAAATTGTTCCAAATTGGTTGAACGAAGCTTAAGTGCTATCATTGATTTGTAACAAGGAATGAAATCTATCTTTTTGTACTTTATATGGCGTGTGGGGGATGATTTTCATAACAAATTTCGAATTTTAGAAAAAAAAAATTCATTTCATTTTATTTCTTTTAATTTTTTATGTTATTACTGCGGCTCCATAAACCTTAAAAGGCAGTCGGAACATTCAGGGCTTCGCCCTGATACGAGCAGTCTTGTTATTATTATGTCACTGTTTTTCCCGTGGTGGTCCCTAATCTATTAATGAGATTTCATATATTCAAGGATAGCCCCAACAAAAGTTAGTTGATTGC